AAGTGCGAATCCTTCTAGAAAATCAATGTGGTCATGGGGGTGATCTGAGAAAGAACCACAGAAGGAATTCTTTTGTACCAGACTGATGAAGTCTAGATCAAGAGTACACTTATTTACTTCATCCTCTGGTAGTCTGATAGCTGACCTATTGAAATAGGTCTTAATGGGATCTAAATAGTCGCGCAATTTTTCTACATCTTCAGTTGAAGATGGATGGTTATTGACAGGGATTTCAGTCCCCTGTTTAACTGTAAATTCATTTGTTTTATTGCATAACTGACCTACTGGTTCGTTTGGGACTACTTCCTCATTAATCAAATCGGTAAGTAAAGACTTACCTGCTTCCGGCTCGGTGATATCGATCGATATGAGATGGTCTATGTCGATCGATTTCTCGGTCAACATGTCGCTCGATGTACCGCTCGCGTCATCGGTCGATACCGGGCTGAAACCTGTATTTTCCATCTTGGGTCCCCTGATAATCAGAGAAAGAACAAAAAGGAATTAAGTAAACAATAAATAAAAATTCTAGACTGTATTCTAAACTAAATCTGGTGGTAACAAGAAAGAGTCCCCGGCAACAGCGCCAAATTTGATATCACTCAAATTACCCTAAGGAGTGAATTACTCTCATCAAAAGAGGTTCGATTGTAGTACTTAGGGATCGAATCCACAGAGACTCTAAAATTACACAACAGATTATTAAGTCTTCGAAATAAAGCTAGATGATAAGATTTTAAACAGTAACTTAAAAGGTAGCAAATAATTGCTTGATTGATTGGTTGATTTGTTAAAAAGGAAGAAGGTAGTTAAACTTAGGTATTTCTCAGGTATGACATACATGCAAGTTGTAAAGGTTTTTATTATTCATAGTTCTAGATTCAAACTTTTAAGGAGGTTTAAGGATTAACTCCACTGGACCTCGTCGTTAAGACTATCGTCCGATAACCTGAAGGGAACATCGATCGATGTTTTGTCGATACTATCGATCGATGCTAATACTGCTATATCGGTCGACACGGCTGTCGCTGCGTCGATCGATATCGCATCCAGCGAGTTATAGAGGTAAGTTTGAAAGGGGTATCTAGTCTTCATTAAATTAACTTTAGACTTAGGGGATTTCCCAAGCTATCGCTTGTCCAAATTGACCATAATATCAGAGGTAAGGGTGATCAATCCTTGGCCTTAGCATTCATTGATAACTAGATTGAGAACTATATTTTAAACACCCTAATAATAGTTTTATTCAATGCATGAGTCAACCTTAATGAGAAACCTAAATCTAACAAGAGAGACTACTCAAACATATTCATGAGAAACAAAGTCATGATGGTCTGAATAATACTTTAAGATAATAAAAAGAAACAATAAGTAAAAAGGGAGTTCAAGATCTTCTCTGTAATTTTAGTTTCAGATCTCTTTCTCCATCAAACTCTTCTCAAAGGGTAGCTAGATGCTTCTCCTTATTAGGTCTAAAAGGTCTCCAAGATTGTCTACCTAAACTAGTACAAAACCCTCTTAATATAGCCTTACAAGCGGCCAGGGACTTAATGTGTAAATTATTAAAACTCTTGTGAAGCAATTAGGGCTTCTAATCTTCATTTAATCGCTTGGATGACTTATGTATCGAACGATGCATAACATCATTATCGATCGATACGGGTAATCATCTATCGGTCGATTACTCTCAACGTGCATCGGTCGATAGCTTAAACAAAATGCATGTTTTACACCAGTGAGTACCTGGATCTGTAAAAGCTCTAAAAAGACACTAAAAGTATCCTTTTGTTTCCAAAAACATATATAAATCATGGCTGAAAATGGGTAAAATCCATGATATATCAACCGTCCCCTGCGACATCAACATCATTGAACATCTCCTAACAGCAAAAGGAAGCAATAATTATTTTGGTTTTGAAGAACAATAATGAAAGGAGTACTTGTTTATGACAACTTACATTTCCAGTGTCACTCCTAATGTTATTAGCAAACTGCACAGCGTCCTGGATTATGTCATCGTGATCTAGAGGATGGTTGTCACGAGACTGGTTGCTGACTTTTTCAGTATTTACTGTTTCGGGTTCTCTCGGAGGTGGAACATGAGGTCGATTGCATGGAGTGGATAGCAGATTAGCAATGTCCCTACCGAAAACTTCAAACGCATCTTGGAAACTATTGCGTAATGATATCTGAGAGTTGTTAACAAGGTTGGTGAGGTCCTTCATTCCTTGAGTAATAGTGAGCATCTCTGAGGAAACAATATTTTTCACTATGATGCACACATGTTCGGCGTCGACTTGTTGAGAAGCAGGTGGTTTGGGGATGGGTTTAGCAGTTTTACGAGAAACGTTATCCTTCTTCGCTTCATCACGCATCAGGATAATATCGGCGTGAGTAACTCCACCGGTGAAATGGGAATTGGAGAAACAGAATCCTTGATCGATAGACTTTACGAGATTATCAACAAGGGCATCTTCTTCGTCGTCTGACCAGACACATTCATTGGCTGGGGCGATAGGGTCCTCGCAAGAAGGAATTATGGAATTTACTACCGCCTGCTTAAAATGAAATTAGAAAAAGATAAACATAATAAGTTTTAGAGAACAATTGAAACAACTGCATAAATTTGAAAACAGAGGGGTACCTTGCAAGCTGCATCAACGTCAGGAATCCGGAAAGTATTGATGTTTTTCTTTTCTTCACCGTCCGAGAAAAAATCGTTGTCCTCGTCTACAGATTCTCGTTCGGAACTAGAAGATCCCCCATCACGTACAACACCAATAAGTGACGGAACGGCTTCAATCATCACGAGTTGTATAGCCATCACAAAGCCTTTGAAAGCGATTGTGTTTTGAGAAAGGGAGACTTCATTCCTCTCTTTAATGCTACCAATTAACAATTGGAAAGCAACACGACCCCAAGGATATGAGAGGAATATATCTAGATCTTTTATCTTCTCAGCAGGTCCATGGAGAATTAGAGGATTGTGGGATGTGGAAAGAAGGACGATGATAGTAAGACAAGATAAGCGTACTTTAGCCTCAAATCTGGGTCAGTGACGGACTTCTTTTTGAGCATCGAAATAACATAGCTACAAGGAACTTCCTTCATGGTACTGAAAAGATCACTCCAATATGGTTTCGCAGAAATGCTCTCGTTTCTCCTCTTCTTCGTGTGTGGTGGGAATCTGTTGCAATTCAGACCCGCCACCAACGAGAATTCTCTCAATGAGAACCTGACTGGTTTACCAGCAAAGAGAAACCAGATTTCGTACTTCTTCTGGTTTTTAATTGCCTGGACATAATGAAACGACCAAATCGGCCAGAAAAGTAGGGTTTTCTTCAATTGATAGTAGCTTGCCAAAGGGAGATTGTTTGATGAGAGCGATTTCTTATTCGTCTAAAGCGTTAATTATTTTTGAGATGATTTTTAGGTTTATGATGTGGGGTAACCCTAATACTAACAGGTTCTTCCCCGATGGCAAACATTCTTTTGGGGAAATCGATAGACGACAATTTTTAGACTAGATTAAGGGACTCGGGTGTGAAAGGAATACTAAAGGAGAGATTTATAAGAGGGATTGAGTCTGATGGGTTTCAGTGTCGACTGTAACAGTCAGGTTTAAATAGAGGAAGAAGATGAATGTTCGAATAAGAGTGATTAAAGCTAAAGGATAAGTTGTAAATACAAAATTAATAAAATAATACCACTTGTGTGACATGATCACTTTTGCATGTGATAACCATTGGTTTAGAGTGGAGGCAAAAATATGTGGGGGAAAGGATTATCAGATGATCTAAGAGTTTAATAGGGGTAAATTGGTCTAAGTACATGACGACAATACCAAGAAAATGCCTATATGTGTATCTGCCTAAATACGGCATTCTCCTATGTGTGCAATGCAATTTCTCTATTTAAAAAGTTATAGGTGACTGAAAATAATTAATTTTCAATATTTGTTTTTGTTGTTCTCGTTAGAAAACACATGTTTGTCAATTTTTTTTATTTTTATTATAAAAATAAGGAAAATATTCATAAACTATTTAATCCAATACATAAATTATTTTTTCTCTATTTTGTAAATTTATGTTTAGATTTTTAGCTATTTAAATTTTTTGTTCTATAAATGCTTATTTTTTCTCTAGTAGTTGATCCGTGATTTGCATGAATTTATTTTCTATTAGATATTTTGTTTAACACTTATTTTAATTTTGAAATGTTTTATTATCATTATATATGAATTATTTTATTTAATTGCTATTTGTTACAGTTTCTATTAAAATTGTTTAATGCTTTGATATTCGGTCTTACTTTCGTTGCAAAAATTTAATTTCATAGTAAAGTTATTGATATACTTTAGTGAGATTAAGACTATTTTTATTTGGAACTATAGATTTTTTGGTGCATTTGTCTTATTTTAGATTATATAGTTTAATTTCTACAATTATTTTTATCTTATTTTATATAGCGTCTCGTTTTTGTGTTTTACAAATACCATGTTTTTAATTTTCATGTCCATATTAAATTTATGCTTGCAGATTTTAGGGAATTAATAACATATGATTTCTCTTTTATAACATTTATTTAGATATACAATAATCTTTGATCTCTTGTTATCATAAGAAGAAAAAATTATCGCTTGTTCATTATTGTTTTATCTGTTATATATTATTTTATGCTTTTCACTAATTATTATTGAAGTCTTCATCTTAATTATGTATTATTTTGGCTATAAATTTTCATTAATTTCTTATTAACAATTAGGTATCAAGTTTGAGTTTGTTAGCTGCTAATTTCCCCAAATTAAAAGTTAGTAATGAACACAAAATGCCTAATACTTATTTTTTTTTTTTTTTTGACAACGAAAGGTGCCTAATACTTATAAGTATAACTTAAGATTATGATAATATCATATTTATACTTCAGACCAAGTTAGGAATATGAAAAGTTCAGTAGGTATAGGCCTAATAAATGTTGTTTTCTTAACTAAAGATGTTTCATTATTGAACCAAATGGAGAAAGTGGCATCTAACATCCGGAAATTGGGGTTGCTGCCGAGGTAACCCGATCAACCTGTAGACTGACCCTTCGCTGAGATGTTGTCTGAACATGAATTGATGGTTCGCATTAACAGAATCTTGAATAACCGTCAACTGTTAGAAAGGACAATTTTTTTTTAGATAATCATAATAGAACCAATCGTCAACAGCGTTAACCGGAAAGAAGATGCTTACATTCTCGTCGATGAGGAGCATGTCTAGACTCATGAACTCACCGTCTTTCCTCACATTTCTAGCCTCCCAAAACCTCAGCAAGTGAACCTCGGTGGTGTTGGAGCAGCGCATGACTTTCAAATCGGCAAGGTGGATGGAATAAGTCACCATTGTAGCAATCGGAAAGTTGAACAAAATTTTCTTCTAATGTTCGTCGAAGCTATATTGTTCATGTCTGCAAAAGGGATATATATACTCACACTTCTACATGGTTATTTTCGGGACTCGATAAGGTGGTTTCAATGATCCAGACTGGGTTAATCACTTATAAAATATGAGGAAAGAAGGTGTGAATCAAGCGTGCGTCAATACGTTGATAATTTATTCCGATATCTACAACCCTCGTCGGCTGACCTAGGGCTTTCAATCGAGATGACGAACAAACCTATAATATTAAAGGATCTCTATATTCCGAAAGTTTAAACGTAATCTACAACAATAAAAACCCAAAACAAATATGCCTTTTACCAATAACATAATTTTTTTCTAAAATAATAATTTTTTTCTAAAGTCTAACAGATAATTTCTTAAACTTAATGAGGTGACACATGGCATTTTTTTCCTCAATAGAGTAAAAAACTTACTTTATTATATAAGTTTTTTTTGTAACAACCTATCCCGTGAAAGCCATGAAGTTCAACTTCTTCTTTCTATTAGAGTTAGTTAGTTGCTACAGTTGTAATTGGTTAGTTATCTTGCTTTCGTTTTGTCGGTTTAGATAAATTGGTTAAGTATATATGTATTAGTATATAATCTAGTGGTATTCTGGCGCTACGCGCCGGGTTCTTATGTTTTATTTTTTAAGGAGTTCAAAACTATTTGTAACCATGAAATTACCAATATCTATATATAAATTTTTACATCATGTATGGGTTCTTTTAACAGATTTGAATGTTGTTATTGGGAGATGTTACATGTTGATGGTCGATACAAATATTTAGCAAACATAGATTGAGTTATGGTGGTTTGTTCTTTTAGTGGTTAGTGATAAATATTGTTTTCATTTTCTCTAATGTAGGAGCAAATTCTATGTGAATTTTGAAGTTTAAATTGTCGGCAATTTAAGGTGACTGATAAATGAGTGATAGTACATGAAAACATATTTGGGAGATGTTACATGTTGATGGTCGATACAAATTTTTAGCAAACATAGATTTAGTTATGGTGGGTTTTTTTTATTTTAGTGCTTAGTGATAAGTATTGTTTTCATTCTCTTTAATGTAGGAGCAAATTGCATGTGAATATTGAAGTTTAAATTGTCGGCTATTTAAGGTGACTGATAAATGAGTGATAGTACACGAAAACATATTTATTTATTTATTTATTTGGGCTAAGTTTGACTTATTGTCAGTTTGAAGTTGAATGTTATGTTTCATATGAATGTAATATATGTCGTAGTTATTTTGTTGATTTACTATATATGTTCCCAGATCTGATTTCCATGTAACTATTTTTTTTTTTGTGAATCATTTTTTTTTCTATTATTTGTCACATCTGTTGTTGTATTTAGTGTAATGTTATATGAGATTCGTTTAAAATGAGATACTTTCTTTTTGGACATTATGCATCTATCTTATTAAAGAGAAGTACAAATAAAAAAATACCACTAAAACTTACAACTTTTTAACAAATCAGTATCACTGAAATATGAAATAATCCTAACTTTAAATAATCTTGTATTTTATAATTATTACATATTTTCTTAAAATAATTATAACTAACAAAGAGTTAGGCAACAATAAAAGAAAACCTACACTAGATTTATTTAATAGGTTTCAACAGAATCATAATAGACAGAGTATTCAAATTTTCAAATAAAAAAAATGTGGCTAAATCCTACCTTTTATTATTTTGTATGTTTTCCTATAAATCATATTCTAATGTAATATCAATATTACAAATGTGAAATATGATAAAGTTTATAAAAACATATTTTAAATAGCATATAAAATAATTTATTATACATTACTCCCTCTGTTTTATAATAAGTGTCATTCTAATCACTTTTTCTTGTTATACAAAAAGTGTCACTTTACAATTCCAATGTAAATTATACTTACTTTCAGCTGAAAATTAATTATAAACTGCATTGATTTTATAAATAATACTATTTATCTAAAATACTATTGGTTAAAGAGGTATAATTAATAACAACTTACATATAATTCAACCACTTTCTTAATTTGTGTGAAAAATGTTAAAGTGACACTTATTAAAAAACGGAGGGAGTATAATATAATTTTGATCCATAAAAAATAAAATAAAACACATTTGTGCGTATATACAGAACTTATTCTAAAAAATATAAGTGATACAATTAACGAATAATAAGACAATTTATAATAATTAATATAAATTATAAAGTTATTCTGTTTTAAAAATGTCATATTAAATGATTATTTTTAAAATAATCACTTACACAAAATGTATATTTATTTATAAAAAATGTAAAAATGAAAATCCACACAGGATAAAATTTAAAATATAGATTATAACGTACAAAAAAATAACTATTTATTCATAAAAATCGTGCATGATAAATTTTTAAAATTTAGATAATCATTTCATAAAATAAATATAAATTTATAATTACAAAAGCATACACGGGTGCGCGGATCAAACTCTAGTTTCAAGGATCAAACTCTAGTTTCAATTAAATGACCATTAATATATAATTTTTTAACAAATTTATTAATTAGATTTTATTTTTAAAACTATGCTATATTTTCTAATTTATGATGTACTTTGTGTATTTTTCAATCTCTTCACATATGTAAATCTTAAAAGATTATTAATAACATTTTATAGTTATTTAAAAAGACTTATATTTGTAAATATCAGTAATTTTTTTTTTTGAATTAATGTTAAATTGATTCAAAAAATCCTTCATACTCAACCTCTCACGCTTTTCTTATCTAGAGTTTACATCTAGAAAAACTAACAACCAATCCCTATTACATTCTGGTGAGAAACCAATATTGCATTAATTGCTCCATTCCCTTTGTTTTCTCCCTTCTCATCAACGTGATCTTATTTCGAATGCTTTTATCCAGAAGCTTTTGTAGAACCGGTACAGGCATCATCTTCTCACCATGCCTGACCTTGTTCTTCTCCCTCCAGATTGCATAAAGTACAACCTGAAACGCATAACGGACACAGAACCTACTCAACCTCTCACGCTTTTCGTCGGATATGAGCACCATGATATCAGACCAGCAATTAGTATAATAGCTCCCAAGAATTCCTTTAGCTATATACTCTCAGACTTGAGTCGAGTATGTACACTCAAAGAACAGATGATTTCGACTTTCAGAAGCGTTTTTACAGAGCACACAAACTGTATCCACCCCCTGACTCCAACTAGCTATTCTATCCATAGTGGAAATCCTTCCTTTAACAGATAACCAAGCCATGAATGCAAACTTAGGCGTACCATTAGCAAACCAAATGGCACCAGCCCAGGAGCAATGAACCTTGCTCTCTCGAAGCAGACTCCAAGTTTCCAAAGTAGAGAATCTCTTCTTGTAACCAGATTTGCCTCTCCAGAGATTATCATCCTCCTTACCAGGAATAAGCCTATTGGTAATAACACTAAGCTCAGCCTCAATATTATTTAAAACAGTCAGACGGTGTCTTCTTCTTCGTCTAACAATATTAACAGCATCCGCCAATGTAGCTTCTCTACTCACTACCATCTCAATAATGCCACGAGAACCAAGAAGATCAAACAAGACTCCTTCATTTGACCAGGCATCAAACCAGAATGATACATGTATGCCATTACCAATCTCTTTCTTGTAAAATTGCTTAGACACTTCTCTCAATTTCAGCATCTTCCGCCACATCCATGAACCGGTTTGAGAATCAGAACTGATTTCCCAAAAGCTTTTCCCTTTAAGAAGATTCTTACTAATCAATTTACCCCACAAAGACTCACCCGTGAGAAACCTCCAAATAAGTTTCAAACCATTTACTTTATTAACTTCCTTCAAGCTTCTTATACCCAATCCTCCCTCAATCTTTCTACTGCAAACTTCACTCCAAGATACTTTAGCACTACTGGTTTTTAATTTCGGACCAGACCAGAGGAATGCAGCACAAACTTTCTCAACTTCCTTAACACAAGCACCTGGAAGCCTTAATACTGCAGACCAGAAATTTATATAGCTTATCAGAACAGAGTTGATAAGCAGCAACCTCCCCGCATAGGATAAGAATCTACACGTCCATGAGCAAATTGTATTCCTTACTCTTTCTACCATTGGCATATAATCTTGTCTTCTCATACTTTGAGTCATTAAAGGGAGGCCCAAATACCTCACCGGCAATTTTCCAATCGAAAAAGGAAAATTCGTCAAGATACTGCTCTTCTCAGCCTCATCAACCCCAGCCATGTACAACATCGATTTTTCCAGACTATTGCTCAATCCTGACCAACCTTCAAAAGTCTCAAAAACAGATTGAGCACCTTCCACCGACTTCTTTGACCCCTCCACAAAGACCATAAGGTCATCAACAAAGCATAAATGTGTTAACGCGAGAGACTTGCACCCCGGATGGAATTTGAATTTCCTTAGAGTGGCAGCTCTATCAATTTTCATGGACAGCACATTCATACAAATTACAAAGAGGTACGGTGAGAGAGAGCAACCTTGACGAAGACCTCTGGAGCTTTGAAAGTATCCAGCAAGTTCTCCATTTACTTGAACAGAGAATGAGAGACTTGTAATACAAAGCTTTATCATGTGAATGTACCTCTCCAGAAACCCCAACACACGTAAACTCTTGAGAACAAAATCCCACTGGACAGAATCGAATGCCTTCGAGATATCAATCTTCATTAAGCATCTTGGAGATACCTTATCTCGATGATAATTCTTAACAAGCTCAGTAGCAAGAAGAACATTCTCCATAAGAAGCCTACCCCTTACAAATGCAGACTGAGTCTCAGAGATGATCTTTGGGAGAAGCTCTTTTAGTCGATTTGCCAAGATTTTAGAAACCACCTTGTAAAGGACGTTACAGAAAGCTATTGGCCGATAATCTCTCATCTCCATCGAGTCCAATTTCTTGGGAATCAAGGCAAGAATAGTAGAATTCACACCTTTTGGCAGAAATCCAAACCGGAACACTGATTGCACAGCAATAACAAAATCATGAGAGATGATCTGCCAAGTGGTTTTAAAAAACTCACAAGAGTAACCATCTGGCCCCGGAGACTTGTTATTAGGAATTGCAAAAAGAACCTTTCTGATCTCCTCAGTAGAAACTTCAGCATCCAACATTTGACAATCCTCTTCTGAACAACGAAATTTAAGGAGCTGCAATAACTCCTCCTCAGAGACCCCATGATAACTCACCGGGACATGATTTAAAAAATTTTCAAAGAAATCCACAGCTTCATTTTTTATCTCTGAATGCTGACCCACCACCATACCATTAGCACATCTAATTTCTCGATCATATTCTGAGCTTGCCGAGTCTTTATAGCCCTGTGAAAAGTCTTATTATTCTTATCTCCAATATCAAGCCAATGCAGCTTTGACCTTTGCTTCAAAAAGTCTTCCTCAAGACTAGCAACATGTAACCACTTACCATAAGCCTCAGCCTCCTCCTGTACAGCTATGGCACTAGGATTAGCCAAAGTGTTGCACTGCTTTTCACACAACATATCAAAAGCAATCTTCTCCCTCTTAGTTAAGTTTCCCAAACTTTCCCTCCCAAGCTCTCTGATCAACGGTTTAAGTAGCTTTAACTTCTTTGAGAAACGAAACATCGCCGAAGTAGAATGAAACAAACTCCCAGTAGAGTCCCAGAACCTCTGAACCATAGGTAAAAAAAGAAGGAACACTACTGATCGCGTTAAAATACTTGAACGGACGACGGATTTTCTCAGTGGAAGCAAGTAACTGGACCTTACATCTCAAATGATCGGAACATCCTCCAGCTTCGAAGACTGAATAAGCATTACCAAATCTTCTCAACCCAGCATCATTCAACAAAACTCTGTCCAGTTTCTTACAAATAACTCCATCATCTCTTTTATTGCACCAAGTGTGCTTAGGCCCTTGATAAGCCATGTCATTAAGCTGACAACGCAGAACCAGCTCCTGAAAGTCTCTCATACCACCAGGAAACTTGTTCATACTATCAAACCTCGAAGTCTCAGACCCATCCAATATCTCATTAAAATCACCCATTATAACCCAAGCTTTATTCCTAAAACTTGGAGAATCATGATGAAACACCAAATCCTCCCATAAAACCTTCCTCCCTTCTACATGATTACTAGCGTAAATGCTAGAACAATAAAATGCTTCCTCTCCTTTTATTTCAACTAGACAAGTTATTATTTGATCCGATTTATACACAGGAGAAACCCGGATCAAATCTCTCCACGAAAACCAAATACGACCTCCCTGACTTTCTTCATAGTTAGTAATAGAACTCCAGTCTTTAAACACCTTATTTATTATGCTCTTTGATTTACCTTCCTTGACTCTAGTTTCCAGAAGGCAACCAAACATCATATCTTTATTCTTTACCCACTCCGACACCACAGAATGCTTTAGATCTTTATTGAACCCTCTAACATTCCAAAAGAAACATGCCATGATTAAAGCTTGCGTCTAGAAGACCTTTTACTCTTAGGCTGAACCTCTGGAGCTTTAGGGTTCTGAACTCTCAACCCCCCTTCTGCATCATCACTTTATCCTTCTCTCTAGGTTTATTCTCCAAAATCTCATCTTCCAGCAAATCACTCTCCAAATTCTCACTTACCATCTCCTCCATCTCTTCATTTTCTACCATCTCTGAAGATTCCACATTTCCAGAGATCTCCTCATCATCCACTGCCAGTACAGAATACTTAGAAGCTGATATAAGAACTTCATATGTATCTCGCACTGGAGTATGTGCTCTTCCTACTTTATCAGCCGCAACTTGCGACCAGTCTGCTTCCTTTCTTTTACTACCATCAACAACCTCATCCTCTCCCGAAGAAGAAGCAATTTTGGTAATCTCTTTCTCAGTACCCTCCTCCACATCTTTTTTATTAATAACACTCTTTTCTAATTTTCCAGTACCACTCCTAAATCCACTCGCATCACTAGTAGTCTCTTTATCCTTCTCCCTAAACTGCACATCTTTCTTCTTCGTTTTACAACTCTCCTCTTTGTGTCCCCATTTGTCACACTTAGCACATCGAGAAGGCAACCATGGGTAATAGAATTCAGCAGTGAACTCCTTTCCCCCAAAAGAAAAATCAATCTCCTTAGGTAAGCTCTTCGTCACATCCACTTTAACAAATATTTTCGCTTCATCGAAATCAGAACATGATATCGTATCTGGATGAAGATGCATCGGAAAACCTACAGCACTTGTCATGAAACTTAGAGCTTCCCAAGAGAAGGTGTGAAGAGGAATCTTACGCAAATGCACCCACATTGGAATAGATTTCTCCTCTGGCGTCTCTTCTTCAGCTTTTGGTGTCAATTTTTTCACAACCATAGGCACCCCTGCGATATTCCACATCCCTCGTTTGATAACCTTTTCCCTAGCCTTCATATTGGTGATCTTGAATCTCATAGTCTTTGCATCAACATCATACACTTCCACTTTAGAGTTCACCTCTCCATATTTCCAAATCTTATTGACCACCATGTGTACCTTGGCAATATGAGGAGCCATATCCAAGAATTTCCCGACAACGAACTCCTCCCACAACGGAGTTGCCTCCGAGAGAAGCGTTTCTGGAATCTCCACTTTGTTCTTCCCATCTTTTGAAACAATCTCCACATCGTACTTCTTCAAAGCTCTCTTATCCGACGCCTTTAAAGCCCAATTTGGAATCGTCTCCTTTTTCGAATCTACACCACCCAGATCCTCCACACCCTTAATCGTACCATCTCCCACCGCCACGTCCTTCCGATCATCCCTAATACCCTCCGGAGAATCAGATGGCGTGCTCGGCGAGCTCGATTGAGCCGCCAAAACCATCACACGAACCTTAGCACGAATCGCCCTAAAAATCGCCTGATATTTTGCTTAGAAAAATGCAGCGTTTTTAAACACTACTTATCAAATATCAGTAAATTAACATAATCAAATTTATTAATTATATTTTAGTTTTTAAAACATAATGTATTTTCTAGTTTATAATGTAACTTTGGGTAATTTTCAATAAATATTAAAAGATTATTAACATGATCAAGGATATCTGAGGTTTTTTGTTTATATGGGTTTTTTTAATACTTCAATGTTAGGATTAGTTACTAGTTCTAATTTGATCCAAGTTTTTTTTTTGGGAATTAGTTGGAATGTGTTCGTATGTTTTTGGTTCACACGACCTATTGCAGCGAATGCCTGTCAATAAATATATATATGTAAATACAAAAATTATTAAAACTAGATATTTAAATAAGTTGATATATATGAAATAAAAGATTCTCATAATTGGACCTAATATAAAAATCAATAAAATTCAAATAAAATAAAAAAATTTATAGTTGGACCTAAAAATTATTCAACAAATGATAATATTCTAGGTGTCAATGTTTGTCCCCCATGGGGTCAACTTTATTATTAAAGAGATTTAGCTAATAAACCCAACAGTCAATGTACTATGGTATGGTTATGTTTTATTTTGCCCACATGAAATTTAGCTAATAAACCTCAACCAAACGGTCAGGTATATACTATGGTATGGTTATGTTTTATTTTGCCCACATGAGATTTTGACAGTATAATAGTCAAAATAGCAACCAAAGGGCTTGAGCATTTGTTTTGTGATATACAAAACTGTCAAGGACATGACAAAACAAAATTGATCAGAAAGATCATGCGTATAGAGATTCAACAGCATTACAAAAGCATACTCGAGTTCATAAAACACTCTTTCAATCAAAATTTCTCCAGCTTGGTTTTCAATCACCAGACCTGAGATTCTGAGAATCAGCCATTTTAATCTCTTCACTCTAACCTGCAAAACAAAATCAAACGCTTAAGAGAACTCATACGGACATCGCAATTAGTCTTGGACATTATTATGATGTCACCTTATATTATATATAGTCTCACAACTCAACAGTCTCCCCACTAAATTTCTCAAGTTCTTGAACTGGGGAGAAATGTTTCATATTCCATCAAAGACCTATCTGCTCTAGCCTTGAGCCATAAACTTTTATAGAAGAGCACATGTGGGTTGATTTGCTCTCCTGTATGATGATTCCTTAACCCCTGCAAACATTTCAAACCATAGTCCATCTTCCTCGGGAAGCCATAGTTTAATGGCTCAAAAAGTATATAATTACAGACCATACCTGGCCAAAGCCACTCTCTTTGGTCACACCATATTCAACTTGAGGCTCTGCCCCTGTTTCCCCTAAGACCATGGGGTACTTCTCTTTCCTTCTAAAATCAACGCTGGCACTCAGACTTCTCGCCTTTGGCATCGTATGTTCTCTAATCGATTGCTATACAGAACATTTAGAATCATTGAGATAGATTAACACATGAATATGTCTGTATATATACAAAGAATTGATGACACGTTTTCTCACCTTCCTTTTAGAGGAATATGGTAAAAGCGAACATCGTTAAAATAAAACCATTAGTTATATTAGCAGCATAAGGATACAAACTTTGGAACTGAATTGAAGACATAATCAGTATAAAGATTTCACATGTGCTTTAAGATAGTGAAATGATTCAGTGAATTCACACGCACCTATGTAGCAGAACCTACTTAAAAATAGTGGAGAGATAACATACCTTAAACATATTCGGCAAACCATCATATTTCCGGGTATGCTCCTCCTGCACTCCGTTATTGATGTACGAGTTGAGATTCTGTACAGTAGAGTTGATGAGATGAAGATCTTGCTCATTTGGTGAACCTGAAGTTACATGTGTTAGCAACTCTGACAGTCCATGTATGGTTGTAAGCAGCTTTTTAACATCCATCTGTGGAGACGAACTTCCATGTGAGATGTAGGAACCCATCTGCTTTGTATCAACTTCCTTATAAGATGGCCCCACATGCACCGAGGGTTGTGTTAAGCCTGCATGTAGCTCTTGGTTGTTCCTATAGCTAACTGGAGAGAACAAAACTGAACTATTCACATTTGCAGATTGGTTTTCCATAGAGCCATATACTTTAGGTTTAGTATCTGCCAAGGAGAACTGTGGGGCTAGAGGATTCAGCTTCTTCTTAAAACCATGGGTTTTGTTGCCGGAACTATCTAGTTTCGTATTCTCAGAAACTTGAGATCCAAGCCGAGGGTTGGATGAGTATGGATTACTACCACCAATGTGGGCGACCTCTGAAGAAGCATAAGTTGAGTGAGCATTTCTGTCAGTAGCTATCAGGTGATCATCAGCTACAGCAGACTTCTTGTCATGGATGAGGGCATAAGCAGGAACAAAAAGAGGGGCCAAAGGATCCAGCTTTACACGCCTTTGGAACTGATTGCTAATATCTTGACACACTAAACCCAAACTTCTTTCATCTGCGTCATAGGGTTCAATCCCTAAAGATTGGTGGGAACCTTGTTCAATCCCATTGCTTATGCTGATGAAGTCACCAGATGATGATGAGGGAGGAAAGGTTGATGACAGAGACCTTTTCAAAGAGGGTGAACCATATTCTCTATTAGCATTAGATGGAATAAACTGAGGAGCCATAGGGTTCAATCCATAAAGATCATCTCTAGACCTAAAAGAGTTGGAACATGTTCCTTTCCAGCAAGGAGAATCCACCTCAGTGTCATCTAGCTCAGATTCCTTGCAACATTCTGACATTTTCGCGAAGAGAGGACTAAAAGCGCTTTCATTCTTCGAACAAGGTTCCTCGAGCTCTGATTCTACAACAGCACATCACAAAACCGTATATCAGTTAAAATCTCAATTCCCAATTGATAAACCACAAATCAATTTCACCTTTAGTGTTGGAAGAAAGAGGATCATCATGTACACTCTTATGATCGTCAGACGTCAAGAAGGAGAAATCAAAACTGAAATCACGCCAGAAGGAATCTTCGGGATCGGATTCAGAAGCTGGGAACGATAGAGAGGAAGAAGAAGCGATGGCAGGATGATGCTTCATCTTATTTAACAGATTCAAACATTTTCTGTGGATTGGATTTTAATAAACAAAGGCAAGGGATTTCATCTCGCCAAGAAGAAGAAGACCAGTTTCATCTTTCCCCTTTTCTTTTATTGGTTTACGTAATACGTATATTATTCTTCTATAGAATTAAATCCAATTTCAATAAATAATAGCCGAAACTAGAAATTGAATTAATTCTCTCTTTCTTCTTTTTCCCTTTGAACTTTTATCTCTTTGACCAAAGAACACTCTATCTAGCCTCGGTCCAAAAAAAACAGAACCAAAACTAAACCAAATACCCGAAATCAGACCCGGACCAAAATCTTCACATACCCGGAATCTTCACATGCCCACTCGAACCCAATTTGGACAAAAAAATATTATAGAATATTGTTACCATCCGATCATGTTATCTTTTATTTACTTTATTATAGTATAAATATATACTAGATTTTAATTCACGCTTTGAAAGCATATAATTAATTTCTAACAAAAATATTTTTAAGTAACAAAATATAATTTAAATAATTTATTTCTGGTTTGTGTATAATTATTATAAAAAAAAAGTCACTGTAAAATTTATTATCATTATTTTTTAGGTGAATTATAGAAATTTTTAAATTATTCGACCCAATAAATTGGTTAGCTATTATTTAGGAATGTTCCTTATTGAATTGAATTGTTTTAGGAATTAATTATGATAAAAAATTAAGTAGTGGCATAACATTGTAATTATGAAAAAAAACAATGACAAAATTTTAATAGAAATTTTGCTTTAATAATATAGATGGTATTTATATATTAAAATACATTAAATACTTATAAAATTAATATTTTGTGACTCTAATTCTTGTTATATTGGCGAATATACAAGTGTATAAACACTGCCATTTAAATTAACATGATAACTAATATATTTTCTACATATATATATTTAATTCACATATTAAACAGGTATTTGGAACTAAACCAAAACTAAATCGAAACTAAAATGAAATTTCATAAACACCTATTGGATATAGAAATGATTTATCCAATACATTGAGAACCAAATGGTTCCTAGGTGAAATCAAACCGAATACCAGAATGCCCATAACTACTTTTATCTATGTGTGAATTATTGACCGTTGTAGTTCAGAGTTTATCTATTTCTTGACCCAAAAAATTATTGGGAATGCTAATTATATTATTATTCATCTTGACCTTAATTAAAGAGATATTTCACAAATAATTAATATTTTCACATATAATTACTATTATTTAAATAAATAAATAAAAAGAAAATAAGTTTTCTATATTTTTGTATTATATGTTTTCAAATTCGATCTTTTTATAACTTTTTTTCAATTTTTTTTTCCAAATTCATTTTTTCAAATTTTTTTTTTGAAATTTAAATTTTTTAAAAAAAATTTAATGTCTCTGTGCACAAGATGAATAAATAAAGAGATAGAGGATTTCCTTGTCGTAAGAGCATCTTCAACCCCACTCCATATTTTACTGCAAAATGGAGTGGAGAATGGAGTAATGAAGACACAAAAATCCCATTACTCCATATTTGGAGTAATCACTTTTTTGTTTCTTCATCACTCCATTTCCCACTCCATTTTGCAGTAAATTATGGAGTGGGGTTGGAGATGCTCTAAGCCTCTATGTGGGGGTAGTGAATCCCCTCGGCTGCTATTGAGTAAAACCCAATATTGAACTGACGAAATACATTTCATCACAATCTTGATCCAGTGCGGGTCGAATCCATTTTACATAGCAGTGTATGAATGAAATTTCATTCCACCCTATCATACGCTTTATTCATTTCTGTTTTGATGGCCATAAATTTTTCTTGACAAGATTTGTTAGTTCTTAGACCATGGAACATTTTCTGAGCAATAAAAATATTATAGGATATTAGTCGTTCCGCCTCAAATGCCGATTGGGTTCCTACGTTTTTTAATTTCCCCATTCATTTAATACGTAGGAAACTACACTTTTTTTAATAATAGTGTAGAAATTGTTACGAAGGGTAAGTGTATGGGCCGAGTGATCTGAAGGATGCCAGTGGGCCTAAAAGTCTTTTGCAAAACAAAGGAGATATCGGAGTGTAGAGAGAATGTGGAAGACGCAAATGGCGGCAGCGATATCAGCAGCGAATTGGGCGTTTGTTGTTGCTGCAAGGCGGCGTGGACGACAACAATGGGGATTGGGAACCATTCCTTTGTCCTGTAGTTTGTCGTCTTCGGGACCACCAAACACAAGAAAGCTTGTTCTATACTCTAAACCAGGATGTTGTCTCTGCGATGGCCTCAAAGAGAAGCTTCAAGCTGCTTTCTCTCTCTCTGGTTCTGGTTCTGGTTCGCTCCACCACGTTACTCTTCAGGTCTTTCGCAATCAAAATCCATACCCATTCTTGTTCGATTTAAGTGGATTGATTTGAGTTCGTTAGTCACTAGTTCTGATGCATATCGCTACGAAAACGTATTGAACATTATTAGGTAAGAGATATCACTACGAATCCTGAGTGGGAAAAGGCTTATCAGTATGAGATACCAGTCCTGGCCAAAGAGAATTCTGATGGCAAAGAGGTCTTCTACATTTCAAGCCTTCTTAATTATCTAGATTTTCTTTTTTTTCTTTTGCAAGATTGATTCATTACAAATTATTTTCTTCATGGTGTAGGAGATTTTGCCAAGGTTGTCTCCACGTTTAAGTGTGGAAATTATACAAAAGAAGTTACTTGCTGCTTTTAATTGATCAAATATGGAAAACAAAGATAGGAAAACGTGTGTAAGGTGTGTGCTCTCATCTTCAAGAAAGTGTTTTTTTTACGTCTGTGTTTTCGCTTCGTTTTGCTTATCCTTTTTGCATGTAATCTGTGGATATGTTTTTTGCTGGCTGATACTGTTTTGATCCTTACCATTTATATGCAAGTGGTGCATTATGTGGTCTTTTACTGACCCACTGATTTGAATGCAACAAGAGTGGTTTTCTAGAATTGTTTCCACATATTACTTTTATTGTTATTGTTTTTGGTTTTGATATGTTGCCAAAACTTGTTCAGTTTCGTTATAACCATATGTATAACAGTTTGCTGCTTTCTTATACTGTCGAAAAGCAACAGGTTTGATGAACTTCTCTTTTTGCGCTAGGAAAAAGTATTTGTTCTATCAATTTGATTTTGAGATGCTATTTTCGGTATTCTCTTGAACAATCGATATTGGATTTGTGTATCTTTCCGCATTATATCTACTTTGATTGCGATTTGTCGTAGAATAATACCCTTTTTTTTCCTTAACTTTCATGGCTGACTATGACGTTTTTTCCCGATATAGGTGCTGCGATGCAACTTGTCGTTAACATCTTGGAACTCAGCATTCTACTTCTGTTTATCAAAAACTGAAAGCAAGTCTGCTCATGTAAGCATTCATTATCTTGGATTCAAATATTTGCTAGTTGTGTAATCTTCTATGGCCTGGCGATCAAACACATTACTATCTTAGAAAAGCAAGCACGGCTCTTATGATGACTGAAACACTTGTTAAACTTTCTTTATATATTTTCAATCTTCCAGAGAGCATGAAACTAGGCCCTCCCTGCTACATATGTTCTTCCCTTGCCACCATCTTCGTAAATGTACCTGATAAGTCATCTGCGTATTATAAAAATGATTAGTATCAATCAGTACATGCATTTTTTTCCTGAATTATTGAATTGGGAGCCACATGATTATGATTTAGGGGAAAGAATCAGTCTTGATCCAATACTCGTCACGTAGTTAGTGCAAAATCTAACATTCGCTTGAACAAAATATCTTTTGCTTAGCTGAACCAAAAGATTGATTATGGTATTCTTTTCTTATAGTCTATATATGGTGGGTGATAAAAGCAATTAGCTACCTTTTGGTCAAATCCTTGTGTACTTTCCTTGGCACAATTGATATGCGGGTTCTCATAATTTGATTGCAATGCCTCTAATTATAGTGCGTACGTTTCTATTTTTCGTCATTGGGATTTGATAGTTAGTCTCACAAGTTCATGGTTAACTTCAAGACATAATTTTTGATCATTGGAATTTTTATAAAAATTGTGGATGATATTTGGTTTTTTTTTGTTGCAATTTTAATACTCAAAACGGATAATTTGTGCACGTCCAAATAAATTGACGATGTGGATGCCTAAGATGTTCGAACTTTGAAGACTATTTGTTGCCTAGATTACTCTATAATACATTGTGAAGTACTGAACAACGGCTGGGGAATATAGAGAAAACAAAGTTTGCAATTAAATAAAGGGGAATTCGCTGAAATTTATCTAAAATCTACTCTATTAAAATAGAGTCATTCTTTTTATCTACTGATATAAGTTGTCATTTAAATTTAGATCTTTTCTAGAATATTACAAATAATATAAGTCATATAATTGATTGAACCGTATTACTTAAATTAAACCAACACAATTAATGTAAAGAGACGACTTTAATGTAAACTACCTTCAAAATATAGTAGGTATCTATGTGTATACCAAAAACACATATTTTCTCCTACAAATATGGAATGTTCTAAAAGAATATATCTCATCAAAATATGGAATATGGAAATCTACTAATTATACTTAAATTAAACTAGTGGTTATTTATGGAATATAGTCTTTTATTTTTTGAACAAATTATATAGTTTGGTTTTTTGGCTTAGTATTAAGAAAAAACTCAAAAAACATTGAATAAACTTTTCACCTTAAAAGATCAAAAAATCAATTATTATTTTCAGACCCAAAAGGTATTTAATATTTTTAACAAACCAAAATTATCTATTATTAATCATTTATTTAAATCATGTACTTTAAAACATGTTAATATATATTTTTATTTTAAATAACAATCACTTTGTTTTGATAAAATTCAATGGTAACTTTTAAATAATTTATTGTTTTATTTTTCTTAAATAATTTACTGATTAAAAAAATGTAAAGCAAAACCAAAAACCAAATCTAAAAACTAAAATCCAAAACCAAAAGCTGAAAAACACATGTTATATTTTTTTGCTTTGTTTATTTACAAAATAAACCATTTCAAAATTTTTTAAAAAAATTTGTTATCATCTTTTCAGTTTTAAATTAGATGTTCGATTATTTGAGATTTGTTTGTTGGTAATATTAGTTCAAACTAACTCAGCGGGTTTAAAAATTAAAAACCCAAACCAAAAACTGAAAATGAAAAGTAGAAACTTAAAAACTAAAAACCAAAAACTAAAATCTAAAAATAAAAACTGAAACTAAAAACTAATGAAAAACAATCATCATCACAAATTTTGGTGAACTGATATTATATCAAAATATTCTTTAAATTAAGACAAACCCCAATTATATAAATTTTTAATCATAAAAATTTCCGCGCTTTCAAGCGCGGGTCAAAATCTAGTTTGATTTTAAATACAAGAGTATCTAATATAAAAGTAACCTAAGAAACAAGTCAAAAAATAGTCAAACTATTTGTAAGCCTATGAATCGCTAATAGAAGCATCATTGGTCCGGAAGGATTTATCTTGTAAGTATGTCCTCTAATGCCAACTCAGCCCAAAAGGAAGAAGTCGTTAACAACAAGATCCAAATACATTCTTTCTCTTTCTTTATTCTCTCTTCCATCTCTAAAGAAGCTCTAGATTTCCTTTTAAATTGGAGGCGATTCTGGGTCGGGGTATGCAGGTGGGATGGTTCCTCGATCCATTCCTGAATCTTGAGAGTGCAAAGTACACAAGAAAGTCGTCGTCTATGGCTTCCAGACAGTGTTCTCTGACTTCTTCTTCCTGTATCTTTTCTTCTAGTTGGTTCGAGCTTGATTCCTCAAGATTATGACGATGGTCCTCTGTTCCGTAGGTGGCTTTCGGTGCTTCTTTGTTTTCTCTCTATCGGCTCCAGGGATTTATCTATCAAACTCAGGTTTTGTTACTCGGTTCTTTCGTGGCAACAAATGTCGTTGCGGTTTGGTCATGACCGCAAGGAGTCGATGTTTGGCTACTCTCACATCCCAGTGCCTTGGATGAACCTTGTTCATTTGTGGTAGTGTAGAGGGCTATTTGTGCAGGTTGAAAGCTTTTATCAGGTTTGTTGTAGAGGCGTTTTCAAACCAATGTTTGGGTGGCTGTGGGATTTCACAGCTTGTGTTCAGGCTTGGCCTAGTGTAATTCTACATCTGTCTTTCCGTGGCGGGTTTGGCGAGGTGGTACAGCTTTGGTTGCAGTTTCATCCCAAGGTATGGATACTAGTAACACCCTCTTCAATTGTTCGTCTTGTGCTTCGTTGCCAATGGAGATTATAAACTTTGACAAGATCTTCGAGACCCAGCTACTTCAGGTGTTGCTCCGAATAGACTGACATCCGAGGAAACAAGGCTAAACCCACCATTTTCGGGTTCAAGGATAACGGTTGAGAGAGGGGCTCAGGTTATTAAGAAATTTTAGAATAGGCTAGCAGAATGCATCGGTTTAGGTGGTTGAAGCGAAGCTAATTTATTATATTTGATCGAGATAGGCTTTTTGTTGAGTCGGTTTGTAATCAAAATTGTAATCCCTGGTTCTCAGGTTTTTATATAATACTTCTACTAGGTGTTTTGCCCGCACATGCGGGCTTAATTATTTTTAAGACAATTTAAAAAGTCATCAAATAAATGATTATTTTTATCCAAAAAATTCGACCTAAAACATTAAACGTTTTTAAATGATAAAATTATTCACAAATTAAAAGAAAATCTATTTTTTCCTTTTAAAATATGAAAAAATCTAAAGTCTATTTCATTTCTTCTTAATTGATAAAAAATATAAAAACCTATCTTTCAATTTGATAAATTGAATCAATAATTATACATTTAAAAGTGATCTTACAGAAAGAATAATATTCGTTTGGATAATAATACAATATATTTGAATTTATTATAAAAATAAATTTAATTTAACGTGTGAGTTCAGATGTGAAAAAATACTTCACAAATATATATATATATCATTATATTATATTATTAAATTATTTTAATTTGAAAATAATTACGTATTATAAATTTTTCAATTTTCTCTTTTCAATTATATACAATTAAAAAGTTAATTATGAATTTTTTTTTATGTTTTCTGTTTTTGATTTTTTATTAAAATAGATTTTCCGGATAACAACACAATATATATAGGAATTATCTTTTTCTTTTTAAATATATATTTAGATTATGGATAATTCTTATCACTAATATTAATTTAAATCATTTATCTAATCAAATAAATATCAATTTTGTTTTTATTTTATGTTTAATTTATATATTTTATTCAGTAAGGGTATAAACGATATTAACCACTCTAACTTTTAACGTGAGAGCTCTGTTGCGAAAAATCACTTCGAAATTTTCAATTATATACAATTAAAAAGTTAATTTATGAATATTTATTTATATGTTTTCTGTTGTCGATTTTTTATTAAAATATATTTTCCGGATAATAACACAATATATATAGGAATTATCTTTTTTTTTTAAAATATATATTTAGATTATGGATAATTCTTATCATTATTATTAATTTAAATCATTTATATAATCAAATAAATATCAATTTCGTTTTTATTTTATGCCTAATTTATATATTTTATTCATTAAGGGTATAAACGATATTAACCACTCTAACTTTTAACGTGAGAGCTCCGTTGTGAGTAGTAAACATGGATACTAGGTGTTTTACCCGCACTTGCAGCTTAAGAATTTTCTAATATCTATAAATAAATATAATCAATTTAAGTAAATTCTAATAAATTATTTTTCATACACTCAAAATATTTAATAATAATCTAAACAAATTATTTCTATATATAAAATTTGCATCAACATATAAATAATTGTCATTACACAAATTAAATGTAAAAATACTCATAAATTTAAAATATTTAATAATAAATTAATATCATTTTTAGACATAACAGAAAAGTATAATAAAATTATCTTTAGTAATGTAAACTATCTATACATAAATTCTTTGCGAATTATTTTTTTCATAATTAAATATATATTAACAAATATAATTATTTTCAAGGTTAATAAAGACTTATAACACAATATAAATAAATTAGATAATGATAACTATCAAATTCATGAAATTCGTTTTTAATTTAGAATTAAGTATATATTAACAAATATAATTATTTTAAATATAATTGTTTTCAATGTTGATAAAGACATAATATAAAAAAAAATTAATAAGCATGATTATCAAATAAATGAAATTTGTGTTTTACTTATGTTTAATTATATATTGAAATTTGTACTACCCTTAATAAACTTAATGACTAATTAGATTTATTACTATATAATGAATAATTAGATTTATTATGATCATTAGTCCAGATAATGATAATCATCAAATCATAAGAAACATGACAAATAAGATTTGTTTCTAATTATTATATAGTAATATATCTAATTAGTCATTATATAGTAATAAATCCAATTAGTCATTAATTTTATGTTTGCTTTGTCATTAAGGGTAGTTAATCTAATTAATATACGGTTCATAATTATATAATAATAATTTTATTTATTCATTGATTAAGGGTAATAGTTAATCATTAGTTAAAATCATAAAAAACATGATAAATAAGTATAATTACATAAAATTATGGAGAATATGATAAATCAGCAAATTCACTTTTTAAAATATAATTAATTTATTGTTACTTATATATTAATTCAGTTTTAGTTTATGGTTTATTAATATCAACTATTTTTAGATAATAATAGTCATCAAATCAGTGAAATTTGTTTCTAATTTATGGTTGATTATATATTAATTAAATATATTTTTCTGATAACAACACACAATATATAGAAATTATTTTTTTCTTTTATTTTAAATATATATTTAGATTATGGATAATTCTTATCATTATTATTAATTAAATCATTTATCTAATCAAATAAATATAAATTCTTTTTTATTTTTGGCTGATTTATATATTTTATTCATTAAGGGTATAAATGATATTAACCACTCCAACTATTAACGTAGGAGCTCCGTTGCAAAAAAACACTTCGCAAAATAGTTTATGGTTTATTAATATCAACTATTTTTAGATAATAATAGTCATCAAATTAGTGAAATTTATTTCTAATTTATGGTTGATTATATATTAATTAAATATATTTTTCTGATAACAACACAATATATATAGAAATTCTCTTTTTATTTTATTTTTAAATATATATTTAGATTATGGATAATTCTTATCATTATTATTAATTTCAATCATTTATCTAATCAAATAAATATAAATTTCGTTTTTAATTATAAAATTAGTTTTATATAAATTTTTTATCAAGGGTATAAACGATATTAACCGCTCCAACTTTTAACGTGGGAGCTCCGTTGCGAAAAATCGCTTCGCAAATAATAGTATAGATATGATAGAAATAAATAGTACAAATTCATCCTTGACAATTTCTAGTAATCTACCAAGAAAATATGATAATAAAAAACTATAAACAAGAGTATATATATATTTAGAAAATCAACATAACTTTAAAATCTATCAGCTTTAAAGAGTCATTAAGATATACCTAAATCAATTTCACAATAACCCAAAAAAAAAAATTGAAAAGAAAATTGTGCCCCAAGAAAGAGTATAAAATCTATAAAAACATTCTTTCCAAGCCTCCAGGGTTTTTGCCGTTCTCCACCTTTCTCTATAACGTAGACGCTTCCTTCCCTTCTTCTCCATGGACCATAAATCCTCTACCATAGCTGAAGCAGTTCCTGTTGTGATTGAGGCCACAACACATCGAGAGGAAGCCAGTAGAGAGCCGAAAGATGATGTAGAGAAACATAGGAATGATGAGAAAATATCTGATGTGATGGAGATATTGCTAGGATTGTCTGGTCGTCTTCAGAAGATGGAAGAAAAGATGGAGTGTCGTTTTCAAGAGATGGAAGAAAAGATGGATTTGTTGTTCTCATCGAAAGTCGAGGCTGAGAACATGTCTATAGATGATGAATCCTCTTTTCGCCAGGAATCTGATGAAAGTGGTAACCGTTTTGTTCGTTTTTCAGATGATCGTGATCGGAGGAGTTATGAGCGTTCTCATCGTTTCTTTGGTCCTGGTCATGGTCAGCAGACCTATGACCGTTCTGGATGTTGTCAGGAGACCGATCATGACAGTTTTAGCCGTTTTTTCAATGGTTATGGTCAGTATGGTGATGACCGTTTTGATCGCTTCTTCAACAGACGTGGTCGTGGTCGTGGTCTTCATGTTGGTGGTCGTTTTGCCGGCGGGCGTTGTGGTGGCCAAGGCTTCTGTGGCGGTTGTTGAGGTTCTGGTGAGGGAGGATAAGCTTTTTTATTCAAATCTGTTTGGATTTTTTTTAGCTTTCTTGTTATGCTAATAGTTTGTGATGCTAATAGTTATGTCTTAGCAAGCTAAATAAAATATATAAAGATTTTAATTGTGAGTTTGGTAGAGCACAATGCTCATGTTAAAGTTAGTCAACACAGAACCAACCAATCCTTCAATCTAACCCAAATCCATAACTTTTTTCTTTCTTTCTTTTGTACACCAACCCCAAATCCATAGTAACTAAGGCAACTTTAGTCCCTCTAAGCAATAACATATGTGACCGGTAGAAGATGACCTATCTAGAGGCACGAATTGCTGCGGAAGAAAAAAACTAACTAACAAAGCAGTTTTCAACACTTATAAAGAGATTTATTATTCTTGAGAGACGACCATAACTAACTGGAACCAAAAATCTGCCTTAGACTTCACTAGTGGGATATTGTCTCTAAAAGAAATGGAACACTTTCAAAGATTCAGACAAGCAAGCTAATAATCAAGCTGAGTTTGTTAATGTATAGAGTTGGAGTTGGTTTGATATGGTTTGAGTTGGTTTAAATAGAGTTTTATAATTGATTGTATCCGGTTTATGTAGACCGAGAATACCGATACTATAAGATGTAAACGTTAAGCCCATTGATGAATAACAGAAAGTTCTTTCCATTTTGAGATTCTTCTCTGATGATCGAACTCTACTAACATGGTATCAGAGCGGTGAGGCTCGACAACTCACCCGATTCTGTTCACGTTTCTTTCTCAAGCTCAAAAATGGTGCGGATCGGTCGTCGTTCAGCTCGTGCGACGTCTTCCGCTCGTCGATCTGCAAATCCGGAGGTTTCGCCACCACACTCGACGATCGCTTCATCGGAATCCTTCGATAACATTCACTCTCCTTACTACCTCACCAACAGCGATAATCCAGGTCTATCACTCGTCTCTGAAGTCCTAGATGGTACGAATTACGATAATTGGTGTATAGCTATGACCATAGCGTTAGATGCGAAGAACAAATCTGCATTTATTGATGGTTCTCTAGCTAGGCCAAGTGATTCTCATCCTCACTTCAGGATCTGGTCTCGTTGTAACTCAATGGTGAAATCATGGATATTGAATGCTGTTTCAAAACAAATCTATAAAAGTATTCTCAGGTTCAACGATGCTTCGGAAATCTGGAAGGATCTAGCCACCAGATATCATATCACCAATCTTCCGCGGTCCTATCAGTTATCTCAGCAAATCTGGTCTTTGCAGCAAGGTTCTCTGGATCTCGCTACCTATTACACCACTCTGAAGACCTTATGGGATGAATTAGATAGCGCAAATTGTGTGGATACTTGCCACAATTGTGACTGTTGCAAAGCTTTGAACAAGAAGGCTGAACATTCTAAAATTGTGAAGTTTTTGGCTGGTCTTAATGAGTCTTACGCGACCATTAGGAGTCAGATTATCATGAAGAAGAATGTACCTGACTTAGCTGAGATATATAATCTTCTGGATCAGGACTTTAGCCAGAGAAATCTCAGTGCTACTCACAATGCTTCTGCATTTCAGGTATCATCAACTTCTCAGATTTTAGCTACGCAGTCCAACTATTCTAATCAGAAACAACAAAAGCCTATCTGCACTCATTGTGGATATACTGGTCACACGGTTGATACTTGCTACAAAATTCATGGATATCCAGTGGATTTTAAGCATAAGAACAAACCGAAGATTGAGAAATCTGTTCCTTCAGCTAAATCACCAAGCTACACCAAGCCTGTGGTTGCTCAGCTTACTATGGATTCTTCTGAAGTTACTGGACAGAACATTTCCAACATGGTTAATAGTCTCACAAAAGATCAGATCCAAGGAGTTATTGCTTACTTCAACTCGAAGCTGCAACCTCTTTCCAATCACTCTGGTGCTTCTTCCTCCAGTGCCACCATCACGGCTTTACCTGGTATGGCTTATTCTACATCTACTCTTAAATTTGTAGCTATCCTACAGGCAACTCGAAGTGTTTTGGGATCTTCTTCTTGGATTGTTGACAGTGGTGCTACTCACCATGTTACTTGTGATAAGAGCAGATTTGAATCTTTCTCTCCTGCTCAGAATGCCTCTGTGACTCTTCCTACTGGTTTGGGTGTTTCTATTGAGGGAGTTGGAGTTGTTAGACTCAGTAGTAAATTGGTTCTTACTAATGTACTCTACATTCCTGAGTTTCTTCTCAGTCTGTTGAGTGTGAGTCAAGTTACTAAAGACTTGAGTTATCATGTGATGTTTGATGGTTCTTCTTGTATGATTCAGGATCCTACCAAGGGGCTGATGATTGGTCAGGGTGAAGAGATCTCCAACCTCTACGTTCTTGATGTTTACTCTCTCCCGGAATCCTCACACACTGAAGTTACCTCAAGTTTACCTTTTTGCTCAAATATTGTTGCCGATTCTACTTTATGGCACAATAGGTTAGGGCATCCTGCTTTGTCTAAAACCGATACTCTGAACTCTGTACTTGGTTTAAAAGAGACAAATAAAATAAGTCATTGTGATATTTGTCATCTTGCAAAGCAGAAACACCTCCCTTTTATCTCCCACAACAATATTTGTGATCACCCTTTTGAAATGTTGCATATTGATGTGTGGGGACCCTTCTCTGTATCTACACCTGAAGGTTACAAATACTTCCTCACCATAGTTGATGATCATACAAGGGTAACATGGATCTATTTACTTCGCAGTAAGGATGAGGTTATTACAATTTTTCCTCAGTTTCTGCAGATGATTGAAACGCAACATAAGGCTGTGGTAAAGGGTGTCAGGTCTGATAATGCTCCAGAGCTTCGATTCACTGATCTTTTCAAGCAGAAAGGCATAGTAGCTTACCATTCCTGTCCTGAAACGCCTGAACAAAACTCAGTGGTGGAGAGAAAACACCAACATATACTCAATGTGGCTCGTTCTCTGATGTTCAAGTCTCAAGTTCCTTTGGTACATTGGGGAGATTGTGTGCTCACGGCTGTGTTCTTGATCAACAGACTTCCTACTCCACGTCTAAACAACAAGACTCCTTTCGAGTTGCTCACATCTAAGAAGGTTATCTACTCTGATTTGCGAGTCTTTGGTTGTCTAGCGTATATGTCTACTTCTTCTAAAGGTCGACATAAGTTTCAACCTCGTTCTAAACCATATGTATTCCTTGGGTATCCTGCTGGTTATAAGGGTTATAAGTTGTTGGATCTTGAGAGTAACAAGATTCATATTGCCAGTAACAATGACACTGCAGTTGATCAACTTAAAGCAAGTCTCAGTGCTATCTTCAAGCTCCGTGATCTTGGTCCCTTGAAATTTTTCCTTGGCCTTGAGATTGCTCGTTCAAGTAAGGGGATTTCAATTTGTCAACGAAAATATATCTTGGATTTGCTTGAAGAAACTGGACTGTTGGCTTGTATACCAGCTTCTGTTCCTGTTACTATGGATCCTAATGCTAAGCTCTTCTATGATAAAGATCAACCTCTCCTGGATGATCCTACAGTATATAGACGTCTTGTTGGTCGGTTAATGTACCTGACTATTACTCGTCCGGATATTACTTACTCGGTCAACAAGTTGTGTCAGTTTGCTTCGGCTCCTCAAAATGCACATCTTAAGGCTGCCTTTCGTGTGCTTCATTATCTCAAAGGTTCTCTTGGAGTTGGTTTGTTCTATTCCTCGGACTCAGACTTGACACTTAAGACATACACTGATGCAGATTGGGGCTCTTGCCTTGACACACGTCGCTCCACATCTGGCTTCTGTATGTTCCTTGGCACTGCTCTTATTGCTTGGAAGTCCAAGAAACAGGATGTTGTCTCTCATTCTTCAGCCGAGTCTGAGTACAGGGCCATGTCCGTTTCTGTCAAAGAGGTGGTTTGGATTGCTAATCTCTTGCGTGAGCTTCATGCGCCTCAAGTAAAACCTATTCCTTTCTTCTGTGATTCAACTGCTGCAATACATATTGCTAACAATCCAGTTTATCATGAACGTACTAAGCATGTTGAACTGGATTGTCACCAAGTTCGAGACCGTATTGACAGTGGTTTGATCAAAACTCTTCACGTTGGCTCTACTACTCAGATAGCTGATGTGTTAACCAAGCCTCTCTATCCTACTCAGTTCAATGCTCTGATTTCCAAGATGTCGTTACATTCCATTTACTCGTCATCTTGAGGGGGAATGTTAATGTATAGAGTTGGAGTTGGTTTGATATGGTTTGAGTTGGTTTAAATAGAGTTTTATAATTGATTGTATCCGGTTTATGTAGATCGAGAATACCGATACTATAAGATGTAAACGTTAAGCCCATTGATGAATAACAGAAAGTTCTTTCCATTTTGAGATTCTTCTCTGATGATCGAACTCTACTAACAGAGTTCGTAACTAAATTAACTTCTGTGTGGGCAGAAGTGAAACTTTGCTGGGAGCTTCTAAATACAATCTAAAACGGGTCAAATTTAAAGACTTCTTATGTTAATAAGTGGTTAATTAATGGGTTTAGGAGAAAGCAGAAAAGGCCTTACGTTAATTTACATAATCCTAAAACTTTATTAATATCTTCGTGTTCTAAAGAATACATGATTTGATCTAGAAAAATCACAAAGCACACGTACATACTGTAGTTTTATAAACATCTTAGCAACCGAGGCAATTCCTCTCATACCCCCTAAATCTCAATATCTAATCTCTCTAAGATACATTTCTTCTTTTAATTTTATATGTCAAACGAAAAAACATAAAATTAAACTTGAAACTTGAATATTTTTTGTTTAATTTATAGAATTTGATAAAAATATTTCGAAAATCAAAAACGTTTTTTCATATTTTCACGAAAATCATCAAAATATGATCAAAAACGATTTTAAAATATTTTTTTTCGAATTTGAAAGCTATAGAATTTAAATATTTGTCCATGGGTTCACCCATCCATTGGGGGGCTTAATTTTGAACACCGGAAAGGATTTAATTTGGGTGTTTAGATTTTGATAAAAAAAGAATTATGAAATATAGGTATAAGAGATCACGCGAGTATATAGGAGATTACCTCTAAAAAATAGGGGTATAGGAGAAGTTGACTCAATGTACATGTACTTGTAAGTGACCAATAAAAGATCAACTATCACTGGTAAAATCATTGTGCTTCTCAAAGATTGGTAACGATATGTAATAGTATACTAGGTGTTTTGCCCGCCATGCGCGCTTAAGCCTTTTATAATTATTTGTTAGTAAATATATTAATAATAAAAAATTAGAAGCATAAATTATTATTTGTGTTTTCATTTTGAAATTTTTTTATTTATCTTAAAAATTATTCAATATTATCTTTTCAATTATATAAAATTAAGAATTTTAATTAATTAATATGTAATTATTTGTTTTCTGCTTTTGAATTTTTAAATATTTTATCAAAAGATAATTTTCGGATAACAATACAATATATATAGGAATTATATTTTAAAAATAAAATATATTTTTAGATTTTGGATAACTCTTATTTTTATTATTTAAAATAACTTATTATTTATAAATTCGTTTGTATATTTAATTAATTAATATAATTTATTCATTAAAGGTATAAACGATATTAACCGCTCCAACTTTTAATGTGGGAGCTCCGTTGCGAAAAATCACTTCGCAAATAATAGTATAGATCTTAGTATCATAATATTTGTTCAAAAAAGAAAATATATTTATTAAGTAAACATGGATATTTTTAAATATGCAAGTAAGTTTTAACAATACAACGATTTACTATTTTAAGAAAATCAATAAAAAAGTTGTAGATTTTTGTAGATATGCACATACGAATCAGTTATTATATGTCGTTAGTATTTTACTAATTTTTGCTTTAAAATTCTCTTACTAATGTTTACTATGATGAAAGATGGACAGATATGAATTGAATTGATTATGGTGTGTTGCACGTCACGAACTGAAGATAAGCAAATATGATTTGTATATATGTAGTCAGTAAGCGATCCTGAAGGCTATAAGTAGAGACGAATGCTTAGCAAAGTATTGTTTGGGTATAAGGTCGGTTTATCAGTTCTAATTGAAAATTGTATTGTTATAAGTAAATAACCAAATTTTGGTATGTGTAAGGTCGGTTTGATTAAGTAACTTGGTTAATATAAAGAATATATCTCTATGATAGACATGTATAATAAATTAGGTGTTGTGCCCGCTTGGCGCGTATAATCTTCTTAGAGATAAATTATTATTCATGCTTTCTCAAAAAAAAAATATTATTTATGTTCTTTAAAAATTAAATCAAATTATTTACATATGATATTTTTAATCAAAATATATAATATGCCCACATATTTTGGGTTGAAATTTGAATTAAAAACCCACATATTAGAAATATTTTAGAAAATATAATTATACAAATGTTATTGATTAATTAATATTTAATTTTAACTTTTTTATATTTATATTTTTAATATTTTTAATAAAATAATATTATTTTCAGATAACAACACAATATCTAAAAAATTTATCTTATTTTTGTAATATGTATTTATTTTGGCAATTATCATATTAATTTATAATCAAATTTTAAATTTTTGTAATAGAAAAATATTATTTCAAGATAACAACACCATATCAATAAGAATTATTTTATTTTTTATAATATGTATTTATTTTGACAATTATCATATTAATTTATAATCAATAATCTAATATAACATATAAATCTAATGTTATTATTATAAATTTGTTTTTTTAGTTATATTATAAAATATATATAAATTCATTAGGGATATAATCGATATTAACCACTTTAACTTTCCGATGCAAAAAATTTCAGATAACAACACAATATCTATGAAAGTTATCTTATTTTTCTAATATGTATTTATTTTTACAATTATCATATTAATTTATAATCAAATTTTTAATTTTTGTAATATAAAAATATTATTTCAAGATAACAACATCATATCAATAGGAGTTATCTTATTTTTGTAATATGTATTTATTTTGAAAATTGTCATATTAATTTATAATCAATAATCTAATATAACATATAAATCTAATGTTATTATTGTTAATTCGTTTTTAATTATATAATAAATTATATATAAATTCATTAAGGGTATAATCGATATTAACCACTCTAACTTTTAACGTGAGAGCTTCGTTGCGAAAAATCACTTCGCAAATAATAGTATTGATTTCGTTTTTATTTTATGCCTAATTTATATATTTTATTCATTAAGGGTATAAACGATATTAACCACTCTAACTTTTAATGTGAGAGCTCCTTTGCGAAAAATCACTTCGCAAATAATAGCTTCTCTAGTGGTGGCTTGGCGCATTCATTCTACACTAACACTAGGTGTTTTGCCTGCACTTGCGGGCCTAAACATTTTATAATTATTTTACTAATATAATTTTACTAGTTGAAAGATTATAATAATAAATTATTATTTATCTTTTTTTAAACAAATAATATACATATTTTCATTTAAACATTCTTACATATATTTCTTTGTATATTATGTTCACTATTAAAAATAAATCTTAAAATCAAATAATATTTTCAATTATATAAAATTAAGAAGTTTACTTGATTTAATATTTAGTTATGTATTTTCTATTTTTTTATTAAAATATATGTGTAGATAACAACACAATATATATATAGGAATTATCTTATTTAAATACATATTATTTAGATTTTGGATAGTTCTTATGATTATTATTAGTTTTAATTACTTATCTAATTAAGATAATAAAATTCGTTTTTTTATGTAATTTATATATTTTATTCATTAAGGGTATAAACGATATTAACCAGTGTAACTTTTAACGTGGGAGCTCCATTGCGAAAAATCACTTAAATGCGGACATGCAGACTTAATTATATTTAAGTCAATTTAAAAAATCATCAAAATAAATGATTATTTGCATCCAAATAATTCGACCTATAACATTAAACTTTTTTACATTGATAAAGTTATTCACAAATTAAAAACAAATCTATGTTTTCCTTTAAAATTTTGAAAAATCTAAAGTTTATTTCATTTCTTCTTAATTGATAAAAAATATAGAAATCTATCTTTCAATTTGAAAAATTGAATCGATAAATATACATTCAAAAATTGATCTTCCAGAAAGAATAAAATTAGTTTGGATAATAATACGATATATTTGAATATATTTTTGTCAAACATGTATTTTCTTTCTTTCTGAATGATCTTTTATTTTATGTGATTACTTCATGTTTAAGGTTTAACTATATAAAATATAAACATAAATTTAATTTAACATGTGAGTTCAGAGGTGAAAAATAATTTCACGAATTTATATCATTATATTATATTATTATATTATTTTAATTTGAAAATAATTACGTATTATACGTTTTTAATTGTATAAAATTAAAAATTTTACTTTATGAATATTTATTTATGTGTTTTTGTTTTTGATTTTTTATTAAAAATATATTTTCCGGATAACAACAAAATATCTATAAAAATTATCTTTTTATTTTATTTTTATCTATATATTTAGATTATGGATAATTCTTATCATTATTATCAGTTTAAATCATTTATCTAATCAAATAAGTATTACATTCGTTTTTATTTTTAGCTGATTTATATATTTTATTCATTAAGGGTATAAACGATATTAACCACTTCAACTTTTAACGTGATAGCTCCGTTGCGAAAAATCACTTCGCAAATAATAGTATAGATACGTTTTTAATTGTATAAAATTAAAAATTTTACTTTATGAATATTTATTTATGTGTTTTTGTTTTTGATTTTTTATTAAAAATATATTTTCCGGATAACAACAAAATATCTATAAAAATTATCTTTTAATTTTATTTTTATCTATATATTTAGATTATGGATAATTCTTATCATTATTATCAGTTTAAATCATTTATCTAATCAAATAAGTATTACATTCGTTTTTATTTTTAGCTGATTTATATATTTTATTCATTAAGCGTATAAACGATATTAACCGCTCTAACTTTTAACGTGAGAGCTCCGTTGCGAAAAATCGCTTCGCAAATAATAGTATAGATTTAAAAAAAAAAAAAAAACAAAAACAAGATCCAAATAAATTTCACGCATAGTACCTGATTCCAAACAGAGAAACTACGAAGACTCCTCTTTCTTGCTTCGGGAGACAGACTGTAGCCATGCAATTTTGGCTATACCTCGCTTTTCAATATTACATGACCATAAGAAGCGGGAACATATAGCCTCAATGCTTTTCATATAGCCCTTTGGCATCTTTCAAAAACTAACAGTGCCAAATATGAAGTCTTGAGAAGCTGCAGTTTGCCGGCAAAGGAGAGAAACTTAGCAGACCAAAATTGGAAACTCAAAGTTGTCTTGTTAATTAACCGTGAATACTCCGAGATTTTGAGTTTTCATCTCATGAGCCGATGAGCGGTAGACCAAGATAGCTAATAAAGAAATTACCAGATGTGTCATTAATAATGGAAAGAGTTCATGTGTCAGCGTGATGAAAAGAAGTTATTCATTTGCCAAATATCTAAAACTATGTTGTGACTGTTCTAATCGCAAAGCTTACTGTAAAGGCAGCCTCCCGAACGTCTTTATAATATGTATGTTAATATATTGGGTCCCTAATATATTCGTCGCAAATGCACATTTCATTGAACGCTGTTGTTGGTCGATGCCATTAATACCGAATCTTATGGGCTTTATTTGATCTAAAGCCCATATTTTGTTTTACCTTTAAGCCCATTTAATATTGGAGAAAAACCTACAGACCACGTGACCTATTTATAAGCGAACTTAGGGTTTATCTTGTTTGTACCCTAAAACTCCACACAGGAACCCGCCGCCGTCGCTTACTCTCAGAGACCGAAAAGATGAAGACGATCTTGTCATCTGAGACGATGGACATCCCCGAAGGCGTGGTGATCAAGGTTCACGCCAAGGTGATTGAAGTGGAAGGCCCACGAGGGAAACTCACCCGTGATTTCAAGCATCTGAACCTCGATTTCCAGCTCATCAAAGACCCCGTCACAAGCAAGAGACAGCTCAAGATCGATTCTTGGTTCGGCTCTCGCAAAGCTAGTGCCTCCATCAGGACTGCTCTTAGTCACGTTAACAATCTCATCGCTGGTGTCACTCAAGGTTTCCTTTACAAGATGAGGTTTGTGTACGCCCATTTCCCCATCAATGCTTCCATCTCCGGCAACAACAAGTCTATTGAGATCCGTAACTTTCTTGGAGAGAAGAAGGTTTGTTTTTTGTTTTGATTTTTATTGTTTTGGTTGATTTTTAGGTTTTTGTCTTTTTGGTTTGGTAATGTAATAAAATGGTGTGGAGCAGGTTAGGAAGGTTGATATGTTGGATGGTGTTACTATTGTTCGATCTGAGAAGGTGAAGGATGAGATTACTCTTGAGGGAAATGACATTGAGTTAGTCTCCCGGTCATGCGCTTTGATCAACCAGGTACTTTTGTTTTTTTAATTTTTCATGTTTCAAGGCCTTGAATGTTATGGAATCTTGAATTGATAAATGAATATGGTGAATGTATAATATGAGTTTCTGTAAGATGTCTTTGGAAACTAAAGAATGCATTGCAATGATGTTGAGTCGTTTGTGTTGTGTTTGGTTATGTTTTGCATTTTAAAGGTTAAATCTTATTTTTCCTTAGTTTACAATACACTCTTTTTGATTATGTAAAGGTGATCATTTTGGTAACAGTTAGTGTTAGTGAGATGGTTTTCTATAAAATGTTGTATAAACTAAGAAAAAAGGAATTCTAATGGTGTTGATTCTTAAATGCGGTGTGGTTGGTGATATTTTGCATTGTAAGCTGTGGTCTTTTTCCTTTGTCAACAAAACTCTAATCTTGCTGTATGTTTGAATTTGCAGAAATGCCATGTGAAGAAGAAGGATATCAGAAAGTTTCTTGATGGTATCTATGTGAGCGAGAAGGGCAAGATCGCTGTCGAAGAATGAAGAGACTATGGTGGAACGATGATATAGTCGTAGCTTTCTGTTCACTTCTCTTGTGGGTTTGTAGTTTTGATTCCTTTGGACCATTTGATAATGTTTGGGTTTCTATCCACCCGGTTCTATTTAAAGTTTTTGAGACTATGTTTCTTGGAATTTTCTTGGATTTAGTTTTGAGTTATATCCTATTTTTATTGAGCTTGAAAGAATATCTATACTTTTAAAATTCTACATTCTTCATGCCTGTTTTTGGATAATGAATTACTGTGATTGACAAAGGAAGATGAATGTTTGTTTAGATTTGGCTTGTTTATTTGATTATCAAACAACTTTTATTCTCATAGTTGATCCCATAAAAAACTAATATTAAGAATATTTTCGTTTTAACTTCCTAACCTTGATTTTCTCCAACTAGAATTGTTTATCTCAACAAAACAGGATATATAAATTTGTAGAGTTTTTACTTTCCAGTCAAATAAGAAGAAAAGTACTCACACAGAGAAGCCGGGGAGCAAATAAACGAGCAACATGTTTCGATGGTTAGATGTTCACAGACTATATATAGTGATTCAATTTTAGTCCCAAATCTCCTAGAATTTCCCTTGCTTCAAGGATACACAACCCTCCATTTCCATGTATTTAAATCTGTTAAATGCGAGTGGTGGTTTCCTTGTTAAATGAAGAAATGGTTTGAACTTCGAACACAGTTCATAAAGTCCATAAAACCTAGCTTCTAAAGAGAATCAATATCATTTTTAATCAGGTTACTCCTTAGTATGACAGCCAAATATTTTCTTAGAAAATTAGTATTTTTATCTACAAAAATATAGCCTAACTATTACTCTTTAAATCACAAAATGGATTTCTATACATCTATGTATATGCATAATTAAGGTTTCATTTAATTCAAGAAACAATGTGGAAAACCGAGATTAAAGGAGGCAATGGAAGAAAATGAGGCTGTTCTCGGGTCAACCTCCTCTTTTCTCTCTAACTAACTGACCTTAGTTCTTGTTTTGCTAAAGAATAGAGACAATCTCCTCTTTTTTGTTACCTAATTTTGTTTTTATCTTCTTCTATTGTTCAGTAATCTTATCACGTTACTACTTTCTATGATGGAGGTGATTCACATGTGACATTCCTTTACAAAAAAATCCACCATGGCCTTCTCCTTATCTATTAACCATAATTTGTAACCAAAATTTGATCCATTGTTCAATCTCTATCACTCTTTTTCCTCACGAATAAACTTTCAGTCTTTGTATTCAAGAATGGCGAAAGACAACACTGGTCTTCATCACCAAACAGAAGCAAGAAGAAAAAAACTAACTTTGGTGCTTGGTGTAAGCGGGCTATGTATTTTGTTTTACGTTTTAGGGGCATGGCAAACCAGTAATATCCCTTCTTCTTACTCCAAAATAGGATGTGAGACTCAGTCAAATCCTTCTACCTCTTCCTCATCTTCTGAGTCATCTGACTTAGATTTCAAAAGCCATAATCAGATTGAGTTCAAGGAAACAAACCAAACCATCAAGAACTTGGAACCATGTGACTTGTCCCTCAGTGAATACACACCTTGTGAAGATCGACAAAGGGGAAGAAGATTCGATAGGAACATGATGAAATATAGAGAAAGGCATTGTCCTTCAAAAGATGAGCTTCTCTATTGTTTGATTCCTCCTCCACCGAACTACAAGATTCCATTCAAATGGCCTCAGAGCAGAGACTATGCTTGGTATGATAACATCCCTCACAAGGAGCTCAGTGTTGAGAAGGCAGTCCAAAACTGGATTCAAGTAGAAGGCGACCGGTTTAGATTCCCTGGTGGTGGAACTATGTTCCCCCGTGGAGCTGATGCATACATAGATGACATTGCCAGGCTCATTCCTCTTACTGCTGGTGGAATTAGAACAGCTATTGACACTGGATGTGGTGTAAGTTTTCAGTTTGAATATATTCTTTCTTTTATTTTTATTTTTGAATACAGAAGCCCGTAAACCACCACAGCATGTAATATTAGTTTCGTCTCAGCGGTCACTCGAATTGGGGACATCTGACACAATAGCCAAATGTCATTTCCAGTTGAATTTTGAATATACTCTCTCATTTGTTCATTGTTAAGATTTCATTGATTATTTTTTGAATCAGGTTGCGAGTTTTGGTGCTTACCTCTTGAAGAGAGACATTTTGGCTGTGTCTTTTGCACCAAGAGACACACATGAAGCTCAGGTCCAGTTTGCTTTAGAACGTGGAGTTCCTGCCATAATCGGGATCATGGGATCAAAAAGACTTCCTTATCCAGCTAGAGCTTTTGATCTTGCTCATTGTTCTCGTTGCTTGATCCCTTGGTTTAAAAATAGTAAGTCTCTTTATTTCTGTTCACATCTGAAAAAGAACATTAACGAAATAATTCTTTTTTTCCCAGAGGGGTTGTACCTGATGGAGGTTGACCGGGTATTAAGACCGGGCGGTTACTGGATCCTCTCTGGACCACCTATAAACTGGAAACAGTACTGGAGAGGATGGGAAAGAACAGAGGAGGATTTAAAGAAAGAACAAGATTCAATAGAGGATGTAGCAAAGAGTCTTTGCTGGAAGAAAGTGATTGAGAAAGGTGATTTAGCCATTTGGAGAAAGCCTATCAATCACATTGAGTGTAAGAAGCTCAAACAAAAAAACAACTCACCTCCACTATGCACCTCGGACAACGCAGACTTCGCTTGGTAACTCAACTCACATCTTAGTCTAAAACTTTGTGGAAAGAGTTCAAAACTTGATTCTCTCTTTTGTTTTAGGTACAAAGACTTGGAATCTTGCGTAACGCCATTACCAGAAACAAACAATCCAGAGGAATCCTCAGACGGTGCGCTCGAGGATTGGCCAGACAGAGCATTTGCGGTTCCTCCTAGGATCATTAGAGGAACGATACAAGACATCAACGCGGAGAAATTTCGAGAAGACAACGAGGTTTGGAAAGAGAGGATAGGTTATTACAAGAAGATAGTCCCAGAGATTTCACATGGAAGGTTCAGGAACATAATGGACATGAACGCTTACCTCGGTGGATTCGCTGCTTCCATGCTGAAATACCCGTCATGGGTCATGAATGTTGTTCCGGTCGATGCAGAGAAACAAACGTTAGGTGTGATCTACGAGCGTGGATTGATTGGAACGTATCAAGACTGGTGTGAAGGATTCTCTACTTATCCAAGAACTTATGATATGATTCATGCAGGAGGTTTGTTCAGCTTATACGAAAACAGGTAAAGTAGTGTGAGCTTCCTACACCTATATATATATTATTTTATGGGAGAGTTGTTCTAACAAAAAATAATGAAATGAATGATGGATTGTGTTGTGTTGTAAGGTGTGATTTGACGTTGATATTGTTGGAGATGGATCGAATACTGAGACCAGAAGGAACGGTTGTGATGAGAGATAATGTGGAGACGTTGACGAAAGTAGAAAGGATAGCGAAGGGAATGAAGTGGAACACTCAGATTGTGGATCATGAGAAAGGTCCTTACAATCCTGAGAAGATTCTTGTTGCTGTTAAAACTTATTGGACTGGTCAGCCTTCTAACAACAACAACAACAACTAGTGTTCCCAACTCTCTTTGGTTGCTGGAAGTCCAATGTCCTCTCTTGTGTGTTTTTCTAAAGCTAAATTTCTGTTTTGTACTTCTTTTCTAAAATCATGTTTAATGACGCAACAGGCTTAGAACCAAACGATTTCAAGAATACTTTCTTTTTTTTTGTCAACAAGAAAGATGGGTTAGACTTCAAGAAGACTTTCAACTTCACGTAATTTTTATATGTTATACTACATCTTATATTAGTTGGACACGGTTCTATTCATTTTGGTTAAAATGATTTTATTTATGTTTCCTCATAGTGTACAAATAATTATGGTTTTGATAAGAACGTATATCCTCGATCCACACAATGGAAAAGTCGCAACCATAAGGATGGACTCGAGTTGTGGTTTGCTACTTGTTGAAGATTCTCACTAGCACATTTACTTCTACACTTACGATTAAACTGGTAAGCACAGCTGTACAAGCTATTGACCGTTAGAGTTGAGTTAAACTGCGTCGTTTAGACGCTACCCAACAAAATATTTTATTTAAGAAATTCTTCGTCTTCTAGGGTCAAATTATCCTCTCTCTCTCTCTCTCTCTCTCTCTCTCTCTCTCTCTCTCTCACCGGAGGCGATCACAAAACCATCTTCTCTAATTTAACTCAGTTCGCTTTGCTTAGTATGTCTTTCCTTTTACTTTATTCGCCAATAAAATTTCTAATTTCAATCGTTGGTTCTTATTTAGTTTTTTTTTTTTAGTTTCTATTTAGGGTTGTTGAATCACCATAAATCGCGGTTCTTAATTTAAAGTTTCTCTTGCAGAGACGTTTTTTCCGGTTCATCCTCTTCAAAATCCATCGAAGAAGATGTGAGAAATCTGCATAAGCCAATCAAAGGTTGATTCTTGATTCTTGATTTTTGAATTTTTCTCTTTAATTGCTTTGTTTTTATTCGAATGATTCGTGGGTATGAATATAGTTTCATTGTAAGTTTGTATAGTCGTAAAAGCTTGGATCTTTGAATAGATTTGTTGGTTTACTAGTTGAGGACATACTGTTGTTTTATTCTTTGCATCATGATTCTCTAATGTATGCATCTTCATGTAAAGATTTTGTGTAGGTGAGGTTGATTGGTGATCCTTATAAGGTTCTTGCTATATCAGTCTCTATTCTATCAAACCATTCATAATGTGAATGAGCTTGTCCCATTGTTTCCTAGTTGCCTGAGCTATAAACAAATGTCTTGTTATGAGGTAATCTTAATTACCTCTCTAAATTGTCCCTTGATGTTGTAATATATGAGCTTGTCCCATGGTTTCCTTGTTGCCTAAGCTATAAACAAATGCCTTGTTATGAGGTAATCTTAATTACCTCTCTAAAGTGTCCCTTGATGCCATAGTGTGAATGAGCTTGTCCCATGGTTTCCTAGTTGACTGAGCTATAAACAAGTGCCTCGTTATGAGGTAATCTTAATTACCTCTCTAAAGTGTCCCTTGATGCCATAGTGTGAATGAGCTTGTCCCATGGTTTCCTAGTTGCCTGAGCTATAAACAAGTGCCTCGTTATGAGGTAATCTTAATTACCTCTCTAAAGTGTCCCTTGATGTTGTAATATGTGAGCCTGTCCCATGGTTTCCTTGTTGCCTGAGCTATAAACAAATGCTTGGAATGAGGTAATCTTAATTACTTCTCACAGGTGTCCTTTGATTCCATAATGTGGGACAGAGCTTGTTCCACGGTTTACTTCTCACAGATTACCCTGATTGATACAGAGCTTGTCCCACGTTTTACTAGTCTCAGAGCTATAATCAAAATGCTCTTCTGAGACAAGGTAATCTTAATTACCTTTTTGAATGTCTCTGATGAAAGAACACAAAGCTTGTCCCACGGTTTTCTAGTCTTAGAGCTATAATCAAAATGCTCTGAGACAAGGTAATCTTAGTTACCTCTCTAAATGTCTCTGATGACCAAAGTAAACAAATGCTTCCTACTGTAGGTAATTTTATTACCTCTTTGAACTGTCCTTGATCCAAGAACAGTACACAGATGAGGTTGTCTCGAGTGTTTATAAAACTTGTTTTATAGTCTTAGAGCTATAATCGAAATGCTCTAAAACAAGGTAATCATAATTACCTTTCTGTAATGTTCTTGATGATAGAACATATAGCTTGTCTCGTGGTTAACTAGTCACAAATGCCTCGTACTGCAGGTAATTTTAATTACCTCTTTGAAGTGTCTCTGATGCCATAATGTAGAATAGCTTGTCCAACAGTTCTATATACAAATGCCTCGTCTTATAATCAAGGTAATCTTAATTACCTTGAAACATCCCTGATACTGTAACACAAATGAGCTTGTTTCCGACTCTTTGAATAACACAATTGACTCTGTCATAGAAGTAAGGTAATCTTAATTACCTAGCGGAAACGTCCCTAATTCTTGAAATGAGGATGTCCCGCTTCTTTGCATAACTCGGTTCCCTAGCCATCCGAGTGATAAACAAATGACTCGTCAACGAGGTAATCTTAATTACCTCCCTGATATGTCCCTGGTGCCAGAACTGATGAAGCTTGCTTCCGAGTCTCAGAGCTACAAGCTTACAATCAAAATGCTCTGAACCAAGGTAATCTTAATTACCTTTATGAATAGTCCCTGATGATACTACAAAGAGCTTGTCATGCGGTTTCGTACTCACAGTAGAATCGTGAGTGTCTCTAATGGTAAAACAAACGAGCTTGTTCCTGAATGAAGTCGGTTTTCCTAGTCACCCGAGTTATTAACAAATGCCTCGTAACAAGGTAATCATAATTACCTCTCTGCAAAAATGTTCTTGATGAAAGAACACAAGTGAGCTTGTCTTGTGGTAGAGTCGAGAATGTCCCTGCATAGCTCGGTTTTTCTAGTCACCCGAGCTCTATCCAAATGCCTCGTAGCTTAGGTAATATTAATTACCACTCTAATTTGTCCCTATTGTGTCATTAATATTAAGGTTGCCCTTTGTGCTACTTAGGATTGTAATTACCTGAGTTAAATGCCTCTCAAGTTGCTTGAGATCCTAGTCACTCAAGTGAAATGCAAAGCCAAACGAAAGTCACTGATCCTAGACTGCAAATTAAACACAAATGCATCGGCACAAGTCTAATGAAAATGCTCAAGCTAAGAGAAAAACGAGTTTCCAAAATGAAAATGAGGTTGGGATGCCTCTTCAAATTACTCGGTTCCTAGTCAGCAACACAATCCTTCCCAGTTCCAAGTGCCTTAAGGGATGAGGTAACTATTTTTTCCTTCTTATGTTTCAGGTATGTGTATTTCTAATTATCTCTGTAGATGATGCTTTATTCGCCTCTTAAGCTTATTCTGTTTTTTTTAATGCAGGTTGACATCAGTAGTACAAATTCTTTGTGTTTAAAACTATCGTCTAACTCCACCTTTCTATCTTTCTTTGCTTGTAGTTCTCTTCCGGGTTTCAAAGATCACGCCAAGAGTTTCAGGTTATTATCTTTCTACTCTTTTATATTTTGGGGTTGTCTCCTCGGAGTTCTATGTCCGGAATTTTAATTGGTCTTTAAAATAGATATGCTTTTGCCTTTAGTTTCTTTTAGTTCTAGAAGAAACGACGTATATATTACTAGTGTGTTAATCAATTTGCAGAAGCTTGATTATGTCCATGCAGTTTCTTATCCATGTTATTTAAGTTTTTTCATCTCTGTTTTTCCAAATCCTTATTTTGGTTGTATGGTATTACTTATTTCTCTATGTTGAGTTAATCTCTTTGTCTGTGTATTATTCTTTGGTACATAACTCTCTCTGAAGAAAACCGCTTGTTGAGTAATTATAAAAGCTATTTTGATCGTAGCACTGCATAACTTTGTATATTTGAAATTTGTCTCACTTAGTTTCTTAAGATTTCTTTTAATGTGTTTTATCATATCAGTAATACTACTGCATATAAAAGGTATGGAATATCTCACATAGGCCGAATGTTTCAGCTTAAGTTTAATAGATTTAATGGCTCTTGGGTGATACTTCACATACTGTGCTTATAATGCATAATCAGGTATTTTCTTTGTTTGGTAATTTCTAACGTAAATTAAAATGTCTTTTTGCTTTTTGTTGGAAGATATTTATGTTTGCTTTCCCTCTTACAATTGGAGGTTTGAAGCTCATTTCCACATGATTTGTTTTAGTTATGTAAATCTTTTGGCATGTTTTCCACAATATTTATATGTTTCATATGCTTCTTGTTGTATCATTTGTCGTTTGATTGCTATGTTTAATGTTGTTTCAAACCTCTTACGATTGGAGGTTTTGAAGCTTATTTCCACAAGATTTATCTTAGTTTTTAAATTTTTTGGCATATTGGTTCTACAATATGTATATGTTTCAAATGCTTCTATAGTTGTATCATTTGTTGATTTGATTTCTATGTACAATGTTTTATTTTACTTGCTTATACTATATTTTTGTTTGTTTGGGGATCTGAGTCGGTGAGAGTAGAAATATTGTATATTGTTTCTAGGTGACTTGAGGTTACTTGCGATTCAGCCATACTTAAATGTTATTCATGTTACCTCCATAACCATGCATTTTCTCTTTGATTATATATCTATTTCTTTTCATATGTTTGTGTTGATGCCATATAATTAATAGTTGATTAATAAGTCCAATGACTTTTGCTTCCTATACATATTTTTTATGCATGTCATCTAACTCGTCAGTATCAATATGTTGTGGTCATATTTGTTAGACTTGCCATGTTATAACTCGGCATATTTCTTTGTTGCTTAGATTATTTCGGTGACTAATCATGTCATCATGTCTTCTCTGACTTTTATGAATGATATATTTACTGTCGTATTAGTTTGTAAAAGATTCTTTATGTAAGCTTATGTGTTAGATATCGTCTTGAGGCCTTTCATTTGCTTATCATCAGTCTTTGATATTTGCTTCCTCGACGCTCAGTCTCTTTGAAACATCATCAGTCTCTTATCTTTTTGTGGATTCTTGGTATTACTGGGACTTTTCAGTGATAGATTTTTTTTTTTTTTTTTATTTGAACTTTAGTTGTGTTCGTGTTTGTTATATTGTGTGCTAATATCGTTTAGAAATCTGATCTAGTTAATCGAGTTATATGAAAAAGTGTGTTTGGATTAAAAAAATAAAAACAAATAAAATGGAACCAAACTTTTTCCCAAATCGATCTGCGATCCTTAATTTATACTTTATCATATGACCAACAACAGTTAAGTATGCTTATATGTTGTTCGGAGTTGATGTAGTTGAAGACAATATACAATTATCCATATTTGCGTTGGCTTTGAGCCGCACTAAGTACAGTAGTATCACTTAATTTAATCAAAAAATGTGATTCAGACAAGTTTTTTTTTTAATTTCAGACAAAAGTTACCTTGTTTTATGTTAAGAAGAGACTGCTTTATTCAGTGGTACTACCATTGAATTTTTTTTTGAGAAACCAGGGAACCATCTTTGAGGAATACCATAGACGCATTCGTTGGCCTTTGTAAACATTCAACTACGTGTTTCATGCGCTTAAATAATTCATTATATAAAGGCTTTTGGTAGCGGTTACGTCTTTGCTATTCTTATATATCTATCGTAAACCTTCTCGATGGCTGCAACTAAAGACTTGTTTGTTTCCACCTAATCTACATTCTAATTCATGGCGGACGCTAAACAGAGGAAGAGCTTAACAAGCAGTTGTAAGACGAATACGACAACAGAAACAAGACAAGATCGTCCATCGTCGTGGTCCACAGATTCAAGCACGAAGGTTCATTCCGTTGCAGGCTTCACCGTTCATCAACCACTGGCCAAAGTGCAGCTACTACGCAACTTCAACTCCTAAAGCCCTTGCTTACTTCTAGTCATCTCGAATAATATATGTAACATAGTCTCGTGCGTTGTTCGCTAGTACAAAGTATTGTATTCACATGCGTTAATGTATGTGTATATGTTAATACTAAGAGAAAGAAAGTATCAAAAACTGTTTAATTCATATTCGTAGTACAAAATTTTAGAAGTGTATGTGAAGGTTCTCTCTTTGACATGCAGAAACTATAACTAATGGTAAACACCATTCATACATTTGATCAAACACCTGATTAGAGAAAAACAAAGATGTACAACACAATAAATACAAATAAAGACATCATTACACCTTTCAAGACATAATATGAAGAAAATTACTGACCGATGCTAGGACATCTGTGGAGAGTCCAGGTTTGCTCTGAGACACCTCATTTTTGATTTCTGTCTTCTGTCTGAACTGACGAACCACCCTAGGTGGAAAGACATGTGCTGGTTCAGCGTTGATGCCGGATTCTTCCTGAATCTTTCGCTTCTGCCAAACATCAAAAAGAGAGACAAGTGAGACATCATCCAGAGTGAGGAAGACAAAACAATACAATTCCTTCAAAGAGTCAGTATGATAACACTAGCTTCATGGATTGATTCTGTTATTCACAATATTAAAGTGAGAGTACCTTCTTCATCCGTTCATCTATCTCAGTCATGGCACGTGACTTCTCCACTTTAGATAGATAAAAGTCCTTCTCTCTTTTAGCAGCAGACATAGCCATATTCAGTTTCTGTTCCCTTATTGCACTTTTGTATGCTGCAAAAAAACAACAACTCTTTTTATATTAGAGATCATATCAAGGTAAATAAGCCATTAATTAACAGTAAGCAAGGAAACTGAGCAGTTAACAATACCAATTTTATCGGTAAGATCATCCCATTTGAACTTGGTCAAGTACTTGATGTTCCAAATATCATAATGTATAGCTGACTTCTTCTTTCCTCCTGTAGAAAATGAAAACACCAATATAATCATTTAAGCTGCCTAGATTTAATAAATCTATTGACTATGAATACTAAAGTAAATCATTAGGAATACCAATTTGTTCTCCATTTAGCATATCAACGCCATGCACGAAATAAAATATTTACTAAATAAATAATTTTAAATAATAAAAAATAGAAAACAATAGCCTAATAATTTGATCAAGTTTAAGTTGCATAAATATTTAAATGTTTGAATCAAAATATGATCATATTTTATTTTAATTTTGAAATTAAAATATTTATAGATTTTATATGGTGTATAATTTAATTTAAATGTATTTAAATGAGTATATTTTAATAGTAACATATATTAAATAAAAATTTAATTCATATAATTTTTCTGATTACTTGGTTTTCTCTATAACAAAAATCTTTAAAAAATTGATCAAAAACATTTTCGTGTGAAAATTTTAACAGTTTTATTATATAATTATTGTAACATATAGTTTTTTTGAAAAATTAAAATATAACAATAACATATACAAAAATCTAAAATTTTATAGTATAATTAATGTAATTTTTAAATTTCTTTTATTAAATAAAATTACAAAGATGATATATGATATTCAAATTATTATCAATCTTTTTTTATTCAATATCATAAGTGTTATATATATGTATATATATATTTTTTAATTACACTATGTAATTACATATCTTTTACTTAAAGAAAGAAGAAATATGATACATAAATTGTTAGATGCACAAACTATTATCAATATTTATTATTTAATATCATTAAATATCATGTATACTTTAAATTACATTATGTAATTTTATAGATTCTTATTTAAAGAAAAAGAATATTTTTTTAATAGATTAATAATTTTATAGTTAGTTTAATAAATAATATAGTATATCTTTCGATGAACCAAATAATAAATGACATGCATTATAATAATTGTGGTAATTAAATTCATTGTTTAAGAACTTTAAAGTTCATTCTAGTGACACATTATAAGTCACAGAATAAAATGTTTTTCAATTAATATATAAGAGATTCCTCTTAACGTCTATAACAAATGATGCTCTGCATATAAACAGATTTTACATATTTAAAAAGAAAAGATAATAAACTCAAACCATACAAAAATGTACTCTGAATTGAACAAATGTCGTCTTTGCGAAGGAATGAAATGCCAGTTCCAATTCAATTAAGAAACGTTGTATATCAGGATTCACATTTGTTATTCAACCACACTTGCAATTCAAACACCATAGCTTGATTAGTTACTAGTTGGTTGCTACTATTAACTCGTCTCCACCATCATGTGGTTCTATAATTTAAGTAGTTTGACCAAAATGTAAAACTAGTCCTCGCCATATTATCTGAAATCCAAAAATAAACCAAAACCAAAACTAATAATATGATACCAAAACATTAAAACGACAAAAATAATATGATACCAAAACATTAAATTTAGCATAATTTCAACATCAAATTTAGTGTTATAGTTAGAGATGTCCTTAACAAGATTAAACAAATGTGGTCTTTGAGATGAAATTAAACTTCACTTGCAATTCAATAAAACAAAATTATATATCAATATCCAAATTTGCCATTCAACACCACTTGCATCATTTGGTCCTATTTTTCTATAATTAAAATAGTTTGACCAAAACATTTTAAAATAATATTAACTAAAATTAAAATAAGGGCAATTCTCTCAAATAGTCATCTTTTAAGTTTTTTATCACAAAAATAGATCTCAACAATTAAAATGACTAAAATAACACTTTTTATTTTGAAATTTTTAAGTTTTTTTTTATTTTTTTCTAAATTCGAAACCCTATCCCCAAAACTCCACTCCTCAACTCTAAACAAAAAAGTCTAGGATTAGTTAACCCAAGATGTATAAATGTATATTTAATAAAATATTTAAGTGTTATTTTGATCATTTTAGTTGTTAAGGTTTATATTTGTGATAAAAACTTTTTAGGTCTATTCTAGTCATTTTCTCTTAAAATAATAGTAAAAATGTTTTAATATTTTAATTTTTTTTTTTGTTATCTATGTTGTTTGTTTATTAGTGACTCGAATGTATATAGATAACTAATTTATAATTTTTTAATTTAAAAATGTAAAAAAATTAAAATTAAATATATGTGTTAAATATTTATTTATTTTTTTTTAAAAATAGATAGAGTAATAATAGATGGGCAATTCTCTCAAATAGCACCCTTTTAAGTTTTTATCACAAAAATAGACCTTAAAGATTAAAATGACCAAAATAGCACTTTTTATTTTGAAAATTTTATGCTTTTCTATTTTTAAAAATTTGAAACCCTATCCCCAAAATCCCACTCCTCAATCTAAACAAAAAGATTTAGATAGTGTTATTCAATCATGTATTTTAAAAGAGTTTAAATCTAAACGCAATCCATTGTTATTCAATTGATGATTCTAAATTCTGTTTTAAAATTCAGTGTTATTCAATCTATGATTGAATTTCAGGTTTTAAAATTTGGTGTTATTCAAGTTTTAAGGATTTTAAAATTCTTTGTAATATAAATGGATTTCAAATCATTGGTGATGGATTTTAATGAATAAATGATTAAATTCAAAATCCAAGGGGTATTGCATAGATTTTAGAATCCATCAACTTTAACAATCTTAAAATTTTAAAATTTGATAGATTGTAAAATATTTAGAATTGATTTTAAATCACTAATTGAATAACATCCCCTTAGGATTAGTTAACCATATGGGTAAAAATGTATTTTTAATAAAACATTAAGTACTATTTTAATCATTTTTATTCTCAAATGCTATATTTGTGATAAAAACATTTTTTAATGTTATTTTAATCATTTTCTCATAATTAATATAGATACATAAAAAAAAAAACTTAAATCTAGGATAGTGAAAAAGAAAAGAAAGGTGTGGGTGTGAGGAAGCGAGATGCTATTTTGGTGAATCCCCTCATCGAATTTAAATAGGCTTTCGTCCCCTCTCCAAATCCGGTTGTAATTCCGATCTGATCATCATCCTTAGCTGTCTGTCTGATATCAATGGAAGTCGAAGAAGAAGTGAAACGAACGGTGGAAGAAGTGAAGGAGCTCCATGACTCCGCCGCTTCCTTCCTCTCTTCTTCCTCCCATCAAGAGCTTTCCCTCCGTCAAAAGGCCTCCGCCCTCGACGCATCTCTCCGCCGTCTCCACTCCACTCTCGCCTCCGACAAGACTCTCGATCCCAAGCTCGTCGACAAGGCAATTCTTTCTTCTGTAATCAAATCCCTCTCTGTCTCGAATCCTAAAACTTGGTTTGATATGTTTTTTTGGGAGCAGGTGGAGGAAGATCTGCATCGTGCAAGATGCATGCTCGCTGAAGGAGATCTCTCTGCCTTTCTCCCATCCAAGCCCCAAGGACGGTTTGTTAGAATGTTTTTGGGGCCTGTCAATGTTCGAGCCTCGCGTAAAGACATTCAGCTCAAAGTCAAAGAAGAATACAATAGCTACAGAGTTTTGTTTCTTCTCTCCTTTGCATGTGTTTGATTTCTTCCTCAACTAACTCTTGTTTCTATCCATTTGGAGCAGGACAAGACTGCTCTTCTCTTTCTTTTCTTCCCTGCTGCTCTTATGATTCTCAGATCTTATTACTGGGATGGTTGTTTGCCTGCCTTCCCTGTTCAGCTCTACGAGGTCATATTTATATATAATCAGTTTTTGCTTTCTAACTCTCTCATTTGGGTTTCTTGGATTCATGTTTTTAGTCTTTTTTTTTTTTTACCAGGCTTGGCTGTTGTTCCTCTATGCTGGGTTGGCTATGCGAGAGAACGTTTTAAGAGCCAATGGGAGCGATATCCGTCCTTGGTACTCTTTTGCTCAGCTCTACGATTATGAGTTTCTCTTTGCTCATTTTTTGTTGGGTGCTCTTTGCATCGTGCTAGTGTTCATCTTAATACCTATTCACTCTCGCTAATGAAGGCCATATGAAATAAGTTTCAATTTTGAAGATGGTAATGTGTATCTATCTCAGAGGATGTGTCATACTATACGTTGAACTTGGGTCTTATGTTTACCAACCACATGTGTAGCTCTATGAAATTCATAGACAATAACTAAGTCTAGGATATTTTGTTTGTAAGAATGTTTTCATGCTACATTTGGACCTTAGGTTCTATATATTCACCAAGCACATGTTCGTTCTGGTTTTTTGGTGCCCCATCACTCTACCTTGCTTATATGTACTGTATGCTACTGATGATTCTTTTCACCAGATTTGTTCTAATTTGGTGTGTTTCCTTCTCTGTAGTTTACAGATATCCATTTTGGATGTCATTAAGATGGCTATGTTGATAATTGATGAGAATTAGTAGTAACTGGCTTGGCAACAAACCTACACGTTTTGCTTCTGTTTATTGGTAGCTCCTCATGTACACTGAATCTGTTTTTGAGTCAGGGGCATCTTAGTTAGAGTAATTAACAGGACTGTCAGTTTGAAATATTGAGTGTCTCTTTATATATGCCATGGCGATCAGCTAACATGTTGATACTCTCCTATAAAGGGTCTCTTTATTTGCATTGATGTGTTTCGGTTGGCTTAGCAAAATAGTCTCATGAGTTGAAGGTGACTTCAACTCTGAACCTGATATGTTTTTGCAGGTGGCTATATCATCACTACTGTGCCATGGGGATGGCCCTTGTCAGCCTCACATGGGAAATCAAAGGTCAACCAAACTGTGTCCAAAAACAGGTATTGCTTAGAGTTGTTTCTTATTATGCAAACTAAAAGTAAATGTTAGGATTGAGCTCAATCATCTACAGAGAGGAGTTCATCTCTTCCTGCAATGGGCTATGATGCAAGGTGTTGCCATGCTTCTGCAAAACAGATACCAACGCCAAAGATTATACACTCGCATAGCAATGGGAAAGGTGACTTATTATTTGCACTTTACCTCAGTCCAAAGTTTTTTCTGCATTTGGAAAGTAGCCCTAATATTTGTGTTGGGAATGTTTTTCAGGCTAAGAGGATGGATGTTGTATGGGGAGAAACGGCTGGAGTTGATGGGCAGTTATGGCTGTTATGTCCTATACTCTTCATTTTACAGGTGAGCGTTTTGCTATATCTGTA